CAGCAGGGCTGCGGTGGGGACACAGGCGCAGCTGCAGGAGCGGCTCCTGGAAGCCCCTCCCTCTCCCACAACACAGCAGCCCCGGGTGGCAGAGCCCACACACCCCGGCAACTGGGACACTCCTCCCACAGGACGGAGCCAGGGCTCACCATCTGCTGGACGCAAAACAGGGAGGTGAGGGCCCCGGGCAGCCACAGAAGGGGGGCCCAGCTGGCTGGCAGCCACTCTAGCCAGGGTCCACACCCGCCTGGAGGAGCTGTGCAAGACCCAGGCCGCCGGGGCCCAGGGAGGGCCTTGCTCCCCAAGCACCCAGGCACAAAACGGACGCCTGTAAGGCAGAGGGCCAGCTCTGCCCACCAGGGCTCAGGACAGGCAGGCAGGCCGCAGGGCAGGGTCTTTGCAAGACGGAGCCTGGGGCAGCCTTACCGACTCCCCAGGATGAGCCAGCCCCCACCTGGGAAGCTGTCCAAGGTAACTCCTGACCTCGTGGAGGGGCGGTCCCTGGGCCTCCTGCCCAAGTGGCCACAGCAGGATCCAGGCCAGTGGCTCACACAGCTCTGCACACACCTTCCCAGGACTCCCTGCCCACTGGGGAGAGCGAGGCCCCCGCCCCGTCTGCCTGCTGGCTCCTCTGCTGGCCACTCCCAGGGCACGTCACGTCCCTGAGGACAGGGATGTGGGTCCAGCTCCCTGCTTGGCTCCGCAGCCAATCACCCTCCCTCCCTGCTGTGGCTACAACCCCCTTCCTCATCACATCCACCCCCCAGCTGCCAGGGTGCCTGGCCAAGGCTGTGTATGGCTGGGCAGCTGGGGCTGGTGACCTCAAACCTCAAACTCCTGCTCCCCGTGGGGCTCAGGGGGCACTCGTGGGCGCCCACGGCCCTGGAAACAGGCCAGCCTGGTACGAAGCAGGATGGTGGCCCCCACAGACCACAGACCCCCACAAGGACCCCCACAGCCGTCCCTCCCACCCAGCCCAGCCACGGTGCCTGCAAGTGCCCTGGACCTGTCACCCTGGATGAGGTCCACACTCGCCAGGGCCCCAAGCCCAGCCGCACAGCCCCTGCAGGCTCTCAGCACTGCGCGGGCCACACAGCACTGCGCACACAAGCACCAGTTCTCAGTCCGACTGCGCATGTCCTGACAGCCCACCTGCTCCAGACCTCACACCTGTCACCAGCCCCAACACCCAAAAGCCCGCCCACCCGCACACGCCCCCAGCTCTCCCTGGCAACCTCGGCCAGTGCCATCCCAGGGCTTCAGACCCCTCCCCACAGAGCCCCAGGCACAAGCCGGCCTGGAGGTGGCATCCCCAACGTGTCCTGGCCTCATCACTCATGGTCGGGGAGGGCAAGGTGGTCCCCACAGAGCCCCCACCTCCTCGAGGCTGGGGCCTCCCCAGGCCACGCCAGGGCCGCAGACCCACTCCTCTGAGCTGCTCACAGGGCCCCGGGTGACAGAAGGGAAGGGAAGCCAGCGCCTCCCAGGCCGGATCTGCGGCCGGGGCCCAGACCGGGAGGCCTCCTCAACGCAGGTCTGCATGGCCACCGCCCTCTCCCTCCCAAGAGGGGCGAGGCTCCGTGCCTGCCCCGCCGCACGCCCCGCCCCAGCCCAGCGTCCCTCCCCCGGCGTACCCTCTCTGGTGGGCAGGCGGCACAGCCGGTGCCTGGTGATCTGCAGCAGGCCCCTGTGGGGGGTCTTCTTCAGGACAGGGGTGCTCCTCCCGCGGACGGCCTGTCGGCGCCGCAGGCTGACAGGCGTCTTGGTGCCGACAGCTGAGGGGCTGCTCTTCTTGTCCCCAGGGAGGCTGTGGGGAGAACACGCAGGCAGCTGCCCACCCACCTGCCCCGCCTCCACTGGCCTCTGCGGCCAGCTGGGGAGCAGCCCCACCCACCACCCCAGGGGATCCTGCCACACACCCCAGGAAAGGATGGGGGGGGGCAGGACCTCCCGCCTCCTCCCCACCTCCCAGGCCAGCTGTCACCGACCCCGAGTGCTGCCCACCAGGCCAGCACTCCCAGAGCAGAGCGAGCCCCGCAGAGGGAGGCAGGGAGGGGCGGCTCCCACAGAGGGCAGCAGGGCAGGGGACTGCCCACCAGAGCCAAAGGCCAAGGCCAGACACAGGAGAGCCTTCCTGGGGGGAAGGCACTATCCCCGGCCCCAGACCACGCACTCCGGGCTACCGCGCATGGGTCGGGGACAGGAAGGGACGTGTGCCGGGGAGGCAGTGCCGGCCTGGCCACCTCACCCACCACGGGGCAGCTGGGATGCGAGGGAGTCGGCTGCCTCTGGGGCAACGGCCCCTGACGGTCAAAGCCAGGGAGGCTGCAGCCCCACAGCCCGCTCAGACGGCTGCCCCATTGTAGCCTGGACAGCGCCCTTCAGCGCAGGCCGCGCAGGGCCTGCGCCCGGGGCAGAGCAGCAAAGACCAGGTGCCCCTGGGCGCTGCTCGGAGCACAGCCACCCCAGCAGAGCTGGGGCCGCCGCTGCAGGCCAGGGGCAGGCAGCCCCGCACCCCACCACGTGCCCTGACCCCGCGGACCTGGGCAGAACAGGCCCAGCGGCCCTCCCATCAGGCTCACAGGAGAGAGGGAGGCCCGCTGGCCGTGCCGCCCCAGCTGTGGGCCTGACCGGAAGCGTGCAGTGGGAGGGAGCACAGGCTCAGGGGGGCAAGGCCTTCCCCCAAAACACCAGAGTCGGGGGCCCGGCCGTACCTGGTGCCGCTGCGCCGCCGGATGATCTTAGTGCGGCTCTTCACTTTGTAAGCCGAGAGCGAGGTCTCCCCGGGCGCCCCCGCCGGCCTTGCCCCCGGAGGGGACCCGGATGGCACGGGGGCGAGCAGGGAGGCGTGGTCCCTGCCGCCAGCCTCGGCCTGCCAGCGGAAGGAGGAGGAGGAGGAGGCGGAGGGGCTGGAGGCCTTCCACTTGTACTTGCTGGGGGAGGGCCCGGCCTTCGAGGCCGCAGCCGGCCTCCTGGCCTTGGCCTGGTCCGCCCGGAGCTGCGCCGGCTCTGTCGCGGCCGTGCCGCAGGGGGTCTTGCCCAGGTTTTCCACGGCTGCTCGGGGACTCAGGGCCCGCCGGGCGGCACGGGGGCTTTTGGCTGAGGCTGCGACCCATTTGTAGTTATTTTTCCGGAACTTGCTGGTTCGACAGGGTACCAGCAGCGAGGCCTCGCGGGCCTGCCTGGCTCCGGAAGCTGGCCTGGCTGGGCCCACGGTGGATCCTGAGGGGACCGGCTGAGCTGGGTGGCCGGCCCTCACTCTCCCGTGCCCCGGGAGCTGCGCGGCACAGCTGGCTGCAGAGTGAGGGGCACCTGTGCGGCCCAGGCCGGGGGCAGGGGCGTGTGCCTTGATGGCCACCGCGCTCTCGCTGACCGTCCGCCGGGGCCCGGGGGCGCTGCCACTCACACTGCCCACGGACCTCACGACCCGGGGCCTGCCCGGCTCCTTCTGGCAGACCAGGAGGGGGTCCTCCACGCTGCGGCCGCCCCTGCCTCTTGCTGGCCTGCAGGGCTGCAGCTGCCCCCCAGGGGGCTCCCCCTCGCCTTCCCGGGGCTGTTGGGCTCCCCAGGGGGTGTCCTCATCTCCCACGGAGCCCTGCAGGGGCACCGGGGCCCCAGCACAGCCGGCCTTCGACGGTGGCTTGATTTTGATGACCATGTTGTGATCTGAGCCAAGCTGGACCTGTCTCTCAAGGACGTCCTGCTGGGGCTCGGGGTCCGGCCTGGCCCCTGCTCCAAGGGCCGTCTGCACGTCGCGGTCACCGGACGGGTCAGAGGACCCGGGGGGCCAGTTCACCAGGGAGTATTTCTTGCGCCACGAAGGCCCCTGGTGTGTGAAGTCTCTCCGGCTGGGACGAGGGTAGCGGGTGCCAAAGGCCCTGTCCCCGTGGTAAGCGGGCGGCTGCCATCGGGGAGCAGCTGAGGTGCCCGGGGCAGGTGCGTTGCCGTGGAGGTTTTTGTAGTCGTCGATCAGACCTGGGAAGACAGAATCACAGCTCGGGTCACCCGCAGGGCCACGCCCGCCCTGGGGGCGCGGGGGCGCCAGACCCTGACTCACTGAGGGCTCCACCCTCAGCCCGACCCCTGCCGCACAACAGCCCCGTGTGCCCGCCTGCCGGGCCCATCTCTGAAGGGAAGCGGTCCCTGGGCAGCTGCCAGGCCTGGGCAGGAGGAGGCCGGGTCAGCCCAGACAGGGCCGGCGGCTGGGCGCCAGGGACGCGGGCCTGTCCCCTCCGGAGGGGGCGGGGCAGGGGCCGAGCGGCACCGCGGGCTTGCACTGAGCTGGGCGGAGGCCCGGCAGCCGCGGCCGCCCCCGCGGCTCTCCACTCGGCCCCAACAGTCTCCCTGAGCGCACAGCCTACTTTTAATTTTTTTCCAGTTTAGAAAGACCAACTTGGGTCGAAAGACATCAGCGAGCGGACGCTGAGGCCTGGGACCCGAGGCCGGGAGCGGCCCCGGGCGCGTGAGGGCAGACGGGCGAGGGGCGAGGGGCGCGGACGCGGCGGCGCCCCCGCCCGTTACTCAGCCACGCCGCCGCCGCGGCCCCGGGGAGCCCCGAAGGCCGCCGGACCAAGCCGGGGCGGGGAACCGACCAGCCGCGGCCCCGCTGGCTCGGCCCGACCGACGGCCCGCCCCCGCGCCGGCACCGGACGGCGGGCGGAGCGCGACCACCCCGAGGAGAGGACGGGGGCCGCCGTGAGGTGAGGGGGAAGCGGGGGACGCGCGCCCGGCCCCGGCCTGACCCACCCTGTAGGAGGCGGATCTGCCGCCGTAATTGCTCCTTTTCATCCATCTCCCGAGTCCGCGACGCCCGGCCAGGCCCCCGCGACGTCATTGCTGCGCGACCGCTTCCCCGCGGGCGGGGCCGGCGGAGCCGGAACCGCCGAGGCGCGGGGCGGGGCCGCAAGGGGGCGCGCCGCCGCCTGGCAACGCCCACTGGGGGCGGGGATACGCACGCGCAGCGAGAGAGGCGGTTGCGTCACCAGGGAGCGCCGGGGCCTGGCCTCGCGCGTCCGGGCCGGCGCCGGGGTGGTGGTTCCCCGGGTCAGCGTCCAGGTGCGGGCACTTGGCGGGGGCACCGAGGCCTGGCGGGGACCTAGCGGCAGAAGGGCCGGCTGCAGTGGCTGGAGGCCAGGATGCCGTGTCGGGACTCCGGCTGCGGCCGCGGGGAGCGCAGTGGGGGCGAGCGCGTGGAAGCCGCAGGAGCCCGCAGCGAGCGCGGCTGCCGCGCGGAAGCGGGGGTTGGGGCCAGAGCGGGCCCGCACCCCAGAGCGGACGGCGGAGACGCGCCGGCGGCCGTGCGCAGAGCCCGTGGGCTGTCACAGCCGCGGGAGGGGCGAGGTGGCGCGGACGAGCGCCGAGTGCTGCGCGGTTTCGCGGGGCTGGGGGCTGGGGGTGACCGGATGCTGGCTTCGGACGTCCTGCTGGGCGAGACGACAGCGTTGTGACTGCAGTCGGTGCCCTTGAGTCGAACACCTCAAAGTGGCTGAAATGACAGCTTTTAGGATGTATATGTCTTTTTTAAAGATTTATTTATTTATTTAAAAGAGGTAGAGAGAGAGGTCTTCCACCCGCTGGTTCACTCCCCAGATGGCCGCAATGACCGGAGCTGGGCCAGGAGCCAGGAGCCTCTTCTGAGTCTCCCACGTGGGTGCAGGGGCCCAAGCACTTAGGCATCTTCCACTGCTTTCCCAGGCCGCAGCAGAGAGCTGGGTCGGAAATGGAGCTGCTGGGACCGGTGCCCACATGGGGTGCTGGCGCTGCCAATGGCGGCCTCACCCGCTAAGCCACAGCGCCGGCCCCATGTATGTGTCTTAGTACGGTTAAAAAAAAAAGTGTCCAGGACGGGCGTTCAGGGTACGGAGTGTCAGGTGCCCAGGTGTTTACAGTATGGAGTGTCAGGTGTCCAAGTGTCCATGGTACGGAGTGTCGGGTGTCCAGGTGTTCACGGTATGGAGTGTCAGGTGTCCGTGGTACGGAGTATCAGGTTTTCAGGGTATGGAGTGTCAGGTGTCCAGGTGTCCATGGTACGGAGTGTCGGGTGTCCAAGTGTACATGGTACGGAGTGTCGGGTGTCCAGGTGTTCACGGTATGGAGTGTCAGGTGTCTGTGGTACGGAGTATCAGGTTTTCAGGGTACGGAGTGTCAGGTGTCCACGGTACAGAGTGTCAGGTGCTCACAGTGCTGAGTGTCAGGTGTCCAGGACAGGTGTTCACGGTACGGAGTGTCAGGTATCCGGGTGTCCATGGTATGGAATGTCAGGTGTCCACGATACGGAGTGTCAGGTGCCTGGGACAGGTGTTCATGGTATAGACTGTCAGGTGTCCGGGTGTCCATGGTACGGAGTGTCAGGTGCCCGGGACAGGTGTTCACGGTAGAGTGTCAGGTGTCCATGGTACGGAGAGTCAGGTGCCCGGGACAGGTGTTCATGGTACAGAGTGTCAGGTGTCCATGGTACGGAGAGTCAGGTGCCCGGGACAGGTGTTCATGGTACAGAGTGTCAGGTGTCCATGGTACGGAGTGTCAGGTGCCCGGGACAGGTGTTCACGGTACAGAGTGTCAGGTGTCCATGGTACGGAGAGTCAGGTGCCCGGGACAGGTGTTCACGGTACAGAGTGTCAGGTGTCCATGGTACAGAGAGTCAGGTGCCTGGGACAGGTGTTCACGGTACAGAGTGTCAGGTGTCCATGGTACGGAGTGTCAGGTGCCCGGGACAGGTGTTCACGGTAGAGTGTCAGGTGTCCATGGTACGGAGAGTCAGGTGCCCGGGACAGGTGTTCACGGTACAGTGTGTCAGGTGTCCATGGTACGGAGTGTCAGGTGCCCGGGACAGGTGTTCACGGTACAGAGTGTCAGGTGTCCATGGTACAGAGAGTCAGGTGCCTGGGACAGGTGTTCACGGTACAGAGTGTCAGGTGTCCATGGTACAGAGAGTCAGGTGCCTGGGACAGGTGTTCACGGTACAGAGTGTCAGGTGTCCATGGTACGGAGTGTCAGGTGCCCGGGACAGGTGTTCACGGTAGAGTGTCAGGTGTCCATGGTACGGAGAGTCAGGTGCCCGGGACAGGTGTTCACGGTACAGTGTGTCAGGTGTCCATGGTACGGAGTGTCAGGTGCCCGGGACAGGTGTTCACGGTAGAGTGTCAGGTGTCCATGGTACAGAGAGTCAGGTGCCCAGGACAGGTGTTCACGGTACAGAGTGTCAGGTGTCCATGGTACGGAGTGTCAGGTGCCCGGGACAGGTGTTCACGGTACAGAGTGTCAGGTGTCCATGGTACGGAGAGTCAGGTGCCCGGGACAGGTGTTCATGGTACAGAGTGTCAGGTGTCCATGGTACAGAGTGTCAGGTGCCCGGGACAGGTGTTCACGGTACAGAGTGTCAGGTGCCCGGGACAGGTGTTCACGGTACAGAGTGTCAGGTGTCCATGGTACGGAGAGTCAGGTGCCCGGGACAGGTGTTCATGGTACAGAGTGTCAGGTGTCCATGGTACGGAGTGTCAGGTGCCCGGGACAGGTGTTCACGGTACAGAGTGTCAGGTGCCCGGGACAGGTGTTCACGGTACAGAGTGTCAGGTGTCCATGGTACGGAGTGTCAGGTGCCCGGGACAGGTGTTCACAGTACGGACTGTCAGGTGTCCGGTGTCCATGGTATGGAGTGTCAGGTGTCCACGGTACGGAGTGTCAGGTGCCCGGGACAGGTGTTCATGGTACGGACTGTCAGGTGTCCGGGTTGTGGGGAGCAACTCGGACTAGACTAAGTTACTGGAATTAAGACTTACTCTATGCATCTGCTCTCCCACAATATGGCGCTGGGAGAAGAGTAAACAACTTCTACACAGCTGCCTCCAGTTCGACCAATAACCTGCAGGAGCTGATCCTGCTCCTGATTGGAGGAGAGCAGCGTACTCGGCGTGTGGGTAGCAGAGTTGGGATTGGTGGAAGAGGACTATAAAGGAGGAGAGAGACAACATGCACCAGGAACATCTAAGGGGAACATCTATCTGAAGGAACACCTGTGCAGCCCCCGAGAGAGCCGGCCGGTGGTGTGCCGCTCCCCCGTGGAAGTGGGGAAAGTGGCAGGGGGGCCCGCCCCTCCACGGAGGTGGAAGGATCGGCAGCCAACCCGGGAAGAACCAGCAGCAAACCCGGGGAGGGCCGAGCAGACAAAAGAACAGCGCAGGGTCCTGTGTCGTTCCTCCACGAATGGGGGAGTGACACGGGTGTCCATAGTATAGAGTGCCAGGTGCCCGGGACAGGTGTTCATGGTACAGAGTGTCAGTTGTCCATGGTATGGAGTGCCAGGTGCCGGGACAGGTGTTCATGGTACGGAGTGTCAGGTGTCCGGGCGTCCATGGTATGGATGTCAGGTGTCCATGGTACGGAGTGTCAGGTGCCCGGGACAGGTGTTCACGATACAGAGTGTCAGTTGTCCATGGTATGGAGTGCCAGGTGCCGGGACAGGTGTTCATGGTACGGAGTGTCAGGTGTCCGGGCGTCCATGGTATGGATGTCAGGTGTCCATGGTACGGAGTGTCAGGTGCCTGGGACAGGTGTTCACGATACAGAGTGTCAGGTGTCCACGGTATGGAGTGTCAGGTGCCTGGGACAGGTGTTCACGGTACAGAGTGTCAGGTGTCCACGGTATGGAGTGTCAGGTGCCGGGACAGGTGTTCACGGTACGGACTGTCAGGTGTCCGGGTGTCCATGGTATAGATGTCAGGTGTCCACGGTATGGAGTGCCAGGTGCCGGGACAGGCGTTCACGGTATGGACTGTCAGGTGTCCGGGTGTCCATGGTATAGATGTCAGGTGTCCACGGTATGGAGTGCCAGGTGCCGGGACAGGTGTTCACGGTACGGACTGTCAGGTGTCCGGGTGTCCATGGTATGGATGTCAGGTGTCCATGGTACGGAGAGTCAGGTGCCGGGACAGGTGTTCACGGTACGGACTGTCAGGTGTCCGGGTGTCCATGGTATAGATGTCAGGTGTCCACGGTATGGAGTGCCAGGTGCCGGGACAGGTGTTCACGGTACGGACTGTCAGGTGTCCACGGTACGGAGAGTCAGGTGCCGGGACAGGTGTTTACGGTGCGGACTGTCAGGTGTCCGGGTGTCCATGGTATGGATGTCAGGTGTCCACGGTACGGAGAGTCAGGTGCCGGGACAGGTGTTCACGGTGCGGACTGTCAGGTGTCCGGGTGTCCATGGTATAGATGTCAGGTGTCCACGGTATGGAGTGCCAGGTGCCGGGACAGGTGTTCACGGTACAGAGTGTCAGGTGTCCACGGTATGGAGTGCCAGGTGCCGGGACAGGTGTTCACAGTGCGGACTGTCAGGTGTCCGGGTGTCCATGGTATGGATGTCAGGTGTCCACGGTCTGGAGTGTCAGGTGCCGGGACAGGTGTTCACGGTACGGACTGTCAGGTGTCCACGGTATGGAGTGCCGGGTGCCGGGACAGGTGTTCACGGTACGGACTGTCAGGTGTCCACGGTATGGAGAGTCAGGTGCCGGGACAGGTGTTCACGGTACGGACTGTCAGGTGTCCACGGTATGGAGAGTCAGGTGCCGGGACAGGTGTTTACGGTGCGGACTGTCAGGTGTCCGGGTGTCCATGGTATGGATGTCAGGTGTCCAGGACGGGCGTTCATGACACGGATGTCAGTGGAGATCCTTGAGGCTGACGGCGATGCAGTGTGGGAGCAGCGGGAGCCGAGTGTCCAGCCTCGCAGTGGAGCGCTGGGCCCACGTGGGAGTTCCTGGCTCCGGCGCCACGCCAGCAGGCCCTAGGAGGCGACGCTGATGGCTCAGGTGAGAAGCTGCCTGCCGGGCGGGACTGAGCTCCCAGCTCCTGCCGCGCCCAGTCCTGGCCGCTCTGGGCGTCGGGGAGTGAGCCAGCTCATAGGTGCTTCTCTCTCCTCTGTCTCAAAAGAAAAAAAGCCCAGGAAATGGGAAATACGTTAATCAATAAAATTTGCTTTTCCTCTCCAAATCAGTTGAATAGCTTAGCAAAGATAGTAAAAAGGTATCAGGCGTGCAGCTGTGGCGGCAACATGTGGGGCCCGACAGAGGGCGAGGCGTCCTCCTGGTCGCTGTGCGTGAGGGCGCAGCCCGGCCTCAGCCTCTGCCCCGCGAGCAGAGTGGCACGCTCGGGGCCAGGCTGCATGTGTCCCCCACATCATCTGAGACCCCCGCCCCGATGGTGGGGGAGGGGTCTCTGGGCGGTGCTGAGGTCCTGAGCCCTCTCAGGCCTGGCGCTGTCCTCCAACCAGAGCGCGGCCTCCGCCAGGAGCCAGCCACCACCCAGTCACTCCCCCCTCCCCCACCTGGAAGACCCCCCCAAGCCCACTTCTTTCTCCATGTGGCACTCCTGGCCACGGGGGAGGGGGTGGCCATGCAGACTCCGGAGCTGACCACCGAGGCCTGCCCCTCCCTTCTCCCCTCCTCGGGCTCGTGTTTTACAGATGTGTTTACGTGAAGGAGCAACAGAGGGATCGTCCGTCCACTGGTTCCCTGGGCCAGGCCAGAGCCCAGAGGACCCTGTGCCGGGCTCCTTTGTGGGGGCACATTCGGGCCATCCACCGCCTTCCCGGCCATCAGAACCAGCTCTGCAGGACACCGGCACCGCAGGCAGCGGCTTCGCCCGCTCCACCACACCATCGGCCCCGCTCTGGCTTTCTCCACCCTGCAGCCCAAGCCCCCTTCTCCCTCCTGAGCTACACAGCGGTCCCCGTGCCAGCCGGGCCTGGCCACACCCCGCTTCTCTGCAGCCCTGCTTCCTAAGGCTACCCCAGAACCCTCTGTGAGGGCTGGGCGAAGAGGCATGCATGCGCTTGATTGACAGGCAGAGAGATCTCCCCCCACTGGCTCACTCCCCAGGGCTGGGCCCAGCCGGAACCGGGAACCAGGAACCCATCCTGGTCTCGCCCAGCACCTGGACCGTCTCCTGCCGCCCTGCTGATACCGGGTGCTCGTCAGTATTCTGACAGTGATAGGCGGTGTGGGCTCTTGCCAGGAATTCAGAGAATTCTGAATACGGCCCAAATAGCCCAGTGTGTAAGCTTTCTTATTCGGTGAGGGGAGCGAGGGCCCCGTCCGCAGCAGGGGGGTCTGGACACTGAGCTGCGTGCAGCGCCCCGTCCACAGCAGGGGTCTGGACACACGAGCCCAGCGCCCCGTCCACAGCAGGAGGGGTCTGGACACAGCCCAGCGCCCCGTCCACAAGCAGGGGGGTCTGGACACTGAGCTGCGTGCAGTGCCCCGTCCACAGCAGGGGTCCCCTGTCCACACGTCTGGACACTGAGCTGCGTGCAGTGCCCCGTCCACAGCAGGGGTCTGGACACACCGAGCCCAGCGCCCCGTCCACAGCAGGGGTCTGGACACAGAGCCCAGCACCCGGTCCACAGCAGGGCGATCTGGATACTGAGCCGCGTGCAGCGCTCCGTCCACAGCAGGGGGGGTCTGGACACAGAGCCCAGCGCCCTGTCCACAGCAGGGGTCTGGACACAGAGCTGCGTGCAGCAGCCTTTGGCTCTGGGGAGCTGCTGGCAGCGAGGGTCTGTACTGGCAAAAAAGTCCCCGGCCCACCGTGTTCCAGGCCTGTTGTCCATGTCCAGCGGGGCGTGGTCATGTAGCCTGATTGGCAGGTGGGGTCAGGCAGGGGCATGAGCTCACACCCAGGTGTGGTCTTCCCGCTCACAAGCCTAGTCAGTTTTATCCTCTCTGCCTGCCTACGTCATTGCCCGGCACCGGAGCTGGGAGGTGGCCTGGGAGCAGCAGTCAGGACTCGAGTGGGGCAGGGTGGACGGGGTTGCCATGACGCGGTGCGCTAGCTGGAACACGCAGCCTGGATCGCTCCAGGAAGCCCTGGAGAGGCGTTTGGGGAGGCACCCAGTGGGTGGGAAATCCATACTTAAGTGAATAAACACATACTTTAAAAAAAAAAAAAAAGCCCACAGAGACTTTTCTGTACTGCTGGCCTCGTGCTCTGCACGGACGTTCGTGGGGGCGGTGGCGCTAGGCCGAGATGCCCCGCAGCGACTGGCTTCCTTCCTGCTGGTCCAGGCTGTCACCTGCCCCCCCACTGGGACTCACACAGATAAACCCCCCTCTTCCTTGGGGAACCTGGCTTGCAGCATCGCCGCAGGCCCCGGGACCCAGTGCGGCCCCCAAAGCTGTAACCGGATCCTGGCAGTGACCGCCTCCCACAAAGCGAGCGGCCCTGCGTGCCTAGGGGACCCCCTGCCCCTCAGCCATCCCGCGCACGGCCACAGGGCGGGCGGGCGGGGGTGCGTGCTGGACCCCGCAGCCCGGCTCTGGCCCTGTAGCGTGGGGATGCCCTCTCGACCACGGCCCCGCCGCTGCGGAGGCCGTCCAGTGCGGCACCCTCCCGCCCGGGCACCCAGAGGGCTGTGGCTGCCGCGAACTTCCTCGGGCTCAGCGCCCACCCTGGTGCCACAACCATCCCACTCTGGCGACCCCACCCCCAACTCCACTGTGGTGGGGTCCCAGTGCACGCGGGCAGGGTCATGGCGTGGTCCCCAGCGGGCGGGAGCATGAAGCCGTGGGCCGCTGGCTGGAGCCCACGTGCGCCCCGAGAGCTGCCCCCCCCCCCCACTGTTCCTAGAAGCCAGCGCCCTGCCTGCTGCTCCGTTTCCCACAGCCGGCTCACATCCGCTCTCTCGCCCGGGGCTTTTTGTTTCGGGAACAAGAGATTGTATGAGCACTGCCAGTGTCCCCGCCACAGCTGCCCCCGTCCTACCAGCTGGTGGGCAGGCAGGACCACCGCGGGCCACACCCTCAGCTGCCCGAGCTCCTCCTACCGGGTGCCCACGAGGGAGCTAGCCCTCCAGAACAGTGAGACCGGCTGGCCCCACCCCGCCGGGGCCCCACACTCCAGGGCCCTTCAGCAAGGGGGAGGGGCATGCCCAGAGGGGTCCCCAGAGGAGTCCCCAGAGGAGACCTGGGAGCCCGTGGGTCTGCAAGGGCAGGGCAGTGCCCGGGAGCCCACCGCTGCGGGCCCCAGCTGCCCCCCGGCCTCTAGCACCTGTGACTGACTCACGGCCGCAGAGCAGGGGGTGTCCACGTGGGGGCACTTTCTCACCAGCTTGGCGTTGCTACCAGGACCACCTATCGAAACAGCTTTATTAACATTGCTCACAAACTGCTGGCGGGGGAGGGGCAGACTTCACGAGAAAGAATTCAGGCGTGGGACAGAGGGCGGCGGTCAGCAGGGGGCAAGGGTACGGTGGGACAGAGGGCGGCGGTCAGCAGGGGGCAGGGGTACGGTGGGACAGAGGGCGGCGGTCAGCAGGGGGGCAGGGGTACGGTGGGACAGAGGGCGGCGGTCAGCAGGGGGCAGGGGTACGGTGGGACAGAGGGCGGCGGTCAGCAGGGGGCAGGGGTACGGTGGGACAGAGGGCGGCGGTCAGCAGGGGGCAGGGGTACGGTGGGACAGAGGGCGGCGGTCAGCAGGGGGCAGGGGTACGGTGGGACAGAGGGCGGCGGTCAGCAGGGGGCCGGGGTACGGTGGGACAGAGGGCGGCGGTCAGCAGGGGGGCAGGGGTACGGTGGGACAGAGGGCGGCGGTCAGCAGGGGGGCAGGGGTACGGTGGGACAGAGGGCGGCGGTCAGCAGGGGGCCGGGGTACGGTGGGACAGAGGGCGGCGGTCAGCAGGGTGGCAGGGGTACTGGGCCGGGCGTCGTCAGAACGGGGTGGGGGACAGAACCTGAGAGAGAGCGCCCCTCACTCAGCCTGGGGACGGCGAGGCCCGTGGGTAAGTGGAGAGGGTGCACCCGGCGGGGCGGGCGGCAGAGCTGAGCGCGCAGTGGTCAGACTGCGGCTGATAAGGGAAGGGTCCAGGCCTTCCTGCCGTGCCCGCCTCCCCCCCCCCCCAGGACAGAGGTGTGCTGAGTGTCAGTGAGTGGACTCCTCCCGGCGCTCCCTGCTCAGTGCTGTCAGACGGGGAGCCCCCTGGGCGGGCAGAGGAGCCTCCCTCGGGCGCCCGCCCTGGAGGAAGGACGTGACGGTTTTATTGCTCCGTGTGGTCAGGCCGGGCCACCCGTGGGTGCTGAGAGAGGGTTGTCCGGGGAGCCTTCCCTGGGGGAGGCCGGGACCCCGGGGAGTGGGCAGGACTTGGGGTGTGAAATCCTGGGCCGCTTCCCGTGAGCTTCCGAGCTGCCACCTCCTCTCTCTGACACTCCTTCCTCAGGCTGGCGTGCGCCAGCCTCTCCACAGACGGAGATCCCCCATGTGCCTGCTTCCTGAGTCACGCGCCTCGCCCGGCCCGTGGGCAAGCCTTGTCCAGGGCCCGGTGCTGCCGTGCGACCCGTGTGTTCCACCGTGGGTTTGCTGTGTTTTTTCACCCACACATCAGTTACTTCACGCTTTTGGGCGACGGCAGGGAACACTGGCTCACCAGGCCCACTGGAGCCCTGCCTTCGGTCCTTGCAGGCACTGCGGGCTCACAGGTGGCCAGCACCGCCCCCGCCAACTCGGGCCTCTTCCAGGGAGCACGCGCCACGCTTCCCTGATGACCGCAGTGCTGGCAGCTGTCCGAGTGCTTCCTGACCTTTGCACCTTGTGCACCTCCACTGTAGGCGTTTAAGAAAGTGAGCTGCCCGCAGAGGCCGCCAGGAACGGCAGGCAGCTGGGCGGCCGGGACAGGCACTTCCCCTCCAGGCCCAACTGGTTCCTGGGAGGAGGGGCGGGCCCCAGGGTGGTTTCCGGGAACCCAGTTTCACTTCCCAGGCTTACGCTCACTCTGCTGCTCCCATCTGAGCAGACGACTGGCCCCAGCCCACAAGACAGTCTCACTTCGCTCCCTGGGACCGAGCCTCTGCCCTCCGGTGCCCACAGTCACGGTCACGGTCAAGGTGAGCTGCACCCTGCCCGGCACTCGCTCGGCACTCTGGGTGGGGACAACCTCACTTCTGCACCCTCCCAGGTCACCCCGGGTCTCTGGAAAGCTGTCTGCCTGGGCAGGGCGCTGGGGTCGGCCTGCCCAGCACCCAGGCCCTCGCGGCAGTTGTAGGCATTGGCTTCCTCGAGGAGTGGCTGCCCCTCCGGGCTGGCCCAGGTTTCTTGTGTCCAGCTCTGGCCTGCTTTGGCCTCTGAACCCTGACGCCTCGGCCCCAGACAGGAGGCTCCTGGGGCTCCAGGCACAGAGGAGGCCCTGGAGGCTGGGGGTGGGGCCCAGGGACACTGCTGGGGCTTGCTGCTCGCCCGGTGCCAGGTCCCAGGAGGCGGGGGACTTCTGCTTCCTCCCCGGTCCTCTGAGCCCCTTGGCCAGGGAGGCAGCAGCCACAGGGGTCCGAGCACTGACCCCCGCGTGCTGGCTCTAAGCTTCTCAAGCTGACACGCGCTGCAGCCCCTGGCCCCCTCGCCCCAGCACAGTGCCCAGTGCCTGTCCCAGTGGCCTGAGCTGCCGAGGGCATGAGTGGAGCCGGCCTGGAGGCCCTCAGGGCCCCGTGGAGACAGGGACAGTGGAGGCAGGGTGGACGCGCTGCTGCCGCTCCTTCCTCTCCTTCTCCTTCTCCTTCTCCTTCTCCTTCTCCTTCTCCTTCTCCTTCTCCTTCTCCTTCTCCTTCTCCTTCTCCTTCTCCTTCTCCTTCTCCTTCTCCTTCTCCTTCTCCTTCTCCTTCTCCTTCTCCTCTCCTTCTCCTTCTCCTTCTCCTTCTCCTTCTCCTTCTCCTTCTCCTTCTCCTTCTCCTTCTCCCTTCTCCTTCTCCTTCTCCTTCTCCTTCTCTTCTCCTTCTCCTTCTCCTTCTCCTTCTCCTGTCTCCGTCTCCTTCTCCTTCTCCTTCTCCTTCTTCCTTCTCCTTCTCCTTCTCCTTCTCCTTCTCCTTCTCCTTCTCCTTCCTCTCCTTCTCCTTCTCCTTCTCCTTCTCCTTCTTCCTTCTCCTTCTCCTTCTCCTTCTCCTTCCTTCTCCTTCTCCTTCTCCTTCTCCTTCTCCTTCTCCTTCTCCTTCCTTCTCCTTCTCCTTCTCCTTCTCCTTCTCCTTCTCCTTCTCCTTCTCCTTCTCCTTCTCCTTCTCCTTCTCCTTCTCCTTCTCCTTCTCCTTCTCCTTCTCCTTCTCCTTCTCCTTCTCCTTCTCCTTCTCCTTCTCCTTCTCCTTCTCCTTCTCCTTCTCCTTCTCCTTCTCCTTCTCCTTCTCCTTCTCCTTCTCCTTCTCCTTCTTCTTTTTTTTAAGATTTACTTGTAGCCGGCGCTGCGGCTCACTAGGCTAATCCTCCGCCTAGCGGCGCCGGCACACCAGGTTCTAGTCCCAGTCGGGGCGCCAGATTCTGTCCCGGTTGCCCCTCTTCCAGGCCAGCTCTCTGCTGTGGCCCAAGTCCTCGGGCCCTGCACCTGCATGGGAGACCAGGAGAAGCACCTGGCTCCTGCCTTTGGATCAGCGCGGTGTGCCGGCCTCAGCGGCCAATGGAGGGTGAACCAACGGCATAGGAAGACCTCTCTCTCACTGTCCACTCTGCCTGTAAAAAAAAAAAAAATTTACTTGTTTACTTATTTATTTGAAAGTCAGAGTTACACAGAGAGAGGGAGAGGCAGAGAGAGAGAGAGAGAGAGAGAGAGGTCTTCCACCCGCTGCTTCACTCCCCAGATTGCCGCGACGGCCAACACTGAGCCAGGCCGTCGCCAGGAGCTTCTTCCGGGTCTCCCACACGGGTGCAGGGGCCCAAGCACGTGGGCCGTCCTCGCTGCTTCCGCAAGTGCATTAGCAGGGCGCTGGATCGGAAGCGAAGCAGCTGGCTGGCACCGGCGCCCATAGGGGATGCCGGTGCCTCAGACGGTGGCTTTACCCGGCCCCACCGCTTCCTTTGGCCCTGGGGAGCGGCCGGGGCAGGAGCCTCCCGCCAGCCAGAACGCCTCAGGACTGGCTGGCCACAGCTGCTCTGCAGCCATCTAAGTGCCAACCGCCGCCCCCGCCCCTTCCAGCCCTGCGGCACGTGCCCGACCCCCACTTCTGGGAAGCATGCCGTCGGCCTTCAAAAGCGTGGTCCGCAGCGTGCTCCGCGAGCTGGACAGCGGCGGGCAGCTCACCCCCGTGGACAGCCTCCACAGCTCCACCAGCTTCCGGCCCTACTGCCTGCTGGGCAGGAAGCCCTCCCGCTCCCTGTTCTGGAAGTCTCGGTACCTGTGCATCGACCTGTCAATCAAAGACATCCTGGAGCCGGAGGCCCCGGAGCCAGGTACCCAGCCTGGTGCTGGCGCCCGCAGAGCCTTAGGCGGGCTGGGGCCTGCGCCCAGCCGGCCCGGCACCGGCAGGCTGGCGGGGAGCAGTGCCCGGGGACAGGGCCTGGGATCTGCTCTTGCTGCAGGTGCGGAGTGCAGCGCCTGCTTCGACTTCGACGATGTCGTGGATGCGCAGGTGCAGGGCAGCGTGGAGCTGGCCGGCCCCGGGCAGGGGAGGATCGCGGGCGAGGCTGCGGTCTCCGGCAGCAGCAGCAGCTCCATGAAAGTGTGCAGGCTGCGAGTGGGCACGAGCACCTTGGAGGCCATGGTCCGCGGCAGGTGAGTGCGGCGGCTCCGGGAAGGGGGCTGCAGAGTCACCGCAGCCTCCCCGGCCGGGACTAGAACCTGGGCGCCCTGGGCCCCGGGGGTCAGGCTGGGCTCCCCCCACCCGGCTGCTGTGAGAAGGCCATGGAGTGGACACAGGGCCACAGGTGACAGACGGCGATGGAGGGCAGCCAGGGAGCAGCCGAGTCGGGGGGTGGTGGGCATCTCCCCTGGAGCCCATCCCTCCCCCACATAGACACTCACAGGAGCACCAGACTGGTGTCCACAGACTGCTGGGTGCCCCGGGTCAGCGGGGGAGGCAAGAGTCCCGTGGCGTGGCTCCCCCGTGAGCTTCCTGGCCCTTGGGCCCCAGGCGCCTGCGGCAGCCGGAACCCAAAATCCTGCAGCAGCTGCGCCGTCGTGGGGACAACGTGTACGTGGTGACCGAGGCGCTGCAGACACAGCAGGAGGTGCAGGTCACCCAGGCCCGCAAGCAGGAGGGCTCAGGCCAGTTCACACTGTCCGGAGCCGTGCACTTGCAGGTGTGTGGCCAGCCCTGCCCCACCAGCCCCACCCGGGTGGGCTCTGCGGAGACCCCTCTGAGGGACACTCACAGCCAGGGCGTCCTGCAGCCCGTGTTGGCCCCCACCGGTGACAAGCCTGTCACCACCAAGCAGCCCACACCCACCCCCCTGACCGGAGCCCAGAGCCCAGCCTTAGCCCATGTCCACCCCGCAGGGCAAGGGCCAGGGCCACCTGAGCCGGAAGAAGATGGTCACCATCCCTGCAGGCAGCGTCCTTGCCTTCGGGGTGGCCCAGCTGGTCATTGGCTCTGACTGGGGTGAGCGGGGGCTGGGGGTGGCAGGAGGCGTCTGGCTGCACAGCCCGCTGGGCACGAGCCATCAGAGCAGGACCTGCGGTGGCAGGGGAGCCCCTGGTGGGGGTGCTGGGAGCTGCTGACCTGCCCTCCCTGTCATTCTCGCTGCCTCCCAGACATCCTCCTCCTCCCAGAGAAGAAGTGGAAGACGTTCCAGCCGCTCCCCCCAGGTGAGGCCCGAGCACCTCCCGGCCCAGCCTTCTTGGCCTCTGAGGCTTGGGACAGAGGGGCTGTTTGGCCCCATCTGCCTGCCAGGGTCAGAGGAGCAGAGAGGGACTGCGGGGGCCCAGGGGAGGCCTCTGCTGCTGCCCTCCCTGGCCCTTCCCCGTGTCCTGCCTGAGGCACGAGTCTTCCTGTGACGCAGGTGACAAGCCACGGAGCTCCAGCTACTCCCTTGTGCCACATTCTGGGTTTGAGGCAGGTCAGTGGCCCCTGCATGCTCCTGGAACCCCCACGGGGTCGGTGCCTCCTGACTAGGGCGTCCAGGGCCCTGCGGGCAGCCGGGCAGTGCCGCACTCGTTCCCTACAGATGCGCCGGCCGAGTGGCCGGTGCTCACGGAAGACTTCCAGGGCCTTCGGGCAGAGGTGGAGGCCAAGCTGCTGGAGCTGGAGTGCTGGGACAGGAGGCTGAGCCGGAAGCTGCTGGGGGGCCTGGCGCCCTTGCTGCGGGACCACCAGGCCCTGGGGGCCCTGGAGTCGCTGGTGAGCAGAGGGGAAGCCAGGCTGCGGGTGGGGCCTGCCCAGCTGCCCAGGCTCACAGCCCATGCGTGCCCCCAGCTGGAGCAGGGCCTGGGCCGCGAGGAGCCGCAGCCCCAGGACGGCCCAGCCAGAGCCGTGTTCGAGTGCCTGCCACGTGCCTCCGGGGCACTGGTGATGGAGGTCGCCAACCCCATCTTCTACCTGGTCGGGGCACTGACCGGTGAGCCCCGGGGGCGCCAGAAGGGAGGGACCTGGGCTCTCCCGGCTGAGCTGGCAAGGACCCGTCTCCTCCCGGTCTCTCCCCAGTGCTGAGCGGAACTCAGCAGGAGCTGCTGGCCCGGGCGCTGGAGACAGGGGCCCTGGTGGGGCAGCTGGAGCTGGTGAGTGTGTGCGGGGTGCAGGGCACGGCTGGCCCGTGGGCGGTGGCCCCGGGCGGCTCTGGGAAGGGGTGCAGTGAGCAGACGCTGCGTCACCGGCTTACTCATGCCCCTGCCTGGCAGGTGGGGAGCTTCCTGGAGCAGAGTGTCCCCTGGGAGGAGCGCAGCACGGTGCCCCTGCCCCCCACGCTCCTGGGGAGCAGCTGGGGCGAGGACGCGGCCGCCTGGACCTTGCTGGAAGAGTGTGGCCACGAGCCACAGGCGGGCGCCCCGGAGGTGTGCTGGGAGCCGCAGGCCCAGGGCCCCACGTGTGCGCTCTACGCCTCCCTGGCACTGCTGGCCAGGCTGAGCCAGTAGCCCTGCCAGCCGGCATGCCTGGGCCAGCTCTCACGGTGCCTGGGAGCTGGCGGCACCCAGTAAACGCGGTGTGTGGAGCCAAGAGTGGTCACGGCCTGTCTGAGGGGCCCTGGGCAGGAGTGGGGGGACACGGGGGCTCACAGCAGGCACCAAGGGGCAGGGGGAGCCTGCCCTGTCCTCGCTCGGGCTTGGCCAGTCCAAGCCACCAGCCGCATGGCCGTGCTGGCTTGCCCGAGCCTCGGTGCTGCTGGGGACAGTGGTAACCCAGGCGCTGAGCCTGACCCCGCGGCCACGCGGGAGGGGAGTGGGCCCGCGGTGCCGCTGGGTTTGCCGACAAGGATCCCCGGCGGTACCCTGGGGTGCAGACAAGCCTGTGCTGGGAGGAGTGAGCGCCCACCGGCCTTGGAGCCCGGCTTCTTCTGTCCTGAGAGACACCCGGGAGCTCTCCTGCCCAGCCCCCGCCCTTCCTCCCTCTCTCCCTCACTGGGGGGTCTGGGGCTTCCTGGCCTCTCTGGCACCTCCCTGGGTGTTGAATCCCCTGGCACCATCAGCCCTGGAGGATATCCGGACGAACACACCAGGTCGTGCCCCTAGCTTCACAAAGAGCCAGCCCTGGGCACGGCGGCAGGGGCCCTGACCCCCGTCGGCTCTGTGCGTGCTGCACTCGGCACGCCCCTCCTATCCAGAGAGCCCCAGCCTGACCCCACACCCGGAACCGGCCTGACCTTTAGCCCCGCCACGGGGCCGACCCTTACCCTCGCCGGCCTGAGCGAACAGACACCCAGCCTTGGATCTACACACTTCCTTCATTTCGTAAGATGTATTTGCAGAGAGACCTCCCATCTGCTGGTTCACTGCTCAGAATGGTTGCAAAAGCCAGATCCGTGTCTCCCACGCGGGTGCAGGGGTCCAAGCACTTGGGCCATCTTCCTCTGCCTTCCCAGGCCACCAGCACCGAGACGGATGGGAAGTGGAGTGGCTGGGACTTGAACCAGCGCCCCGTGCGATAGCGGCCCTGTAAGCAGCTGTTTAACCACAACGCAGGCCCCGTCTGTTCGCTTAAAGTGCTTCACCCCTCCCAGGCCGTGCACACGTCCTGTGGGCAGGCGTTCCAGGTGGGACCCGGCCAGGGCCAGCGGCTGGGGGGGAGACTCCCGGCGGCGGGGGCTCCCCAGGGCCTCTCCCCGCGCGCTCAGCCAGGGCACAGGGTGCTGCCAGCAGTGTCCCGGCCTGGTCACCTGACCCCACGGTGTGGTCCTGGCCTGTGCTGTGCTGCTCAGTGCCACCTTTCAGAGGAGACCGCACTCAGGGAGGACCCACCAGGACAGGCGGGGGGTGGCCAGTGGGGTCCAGTGGGTGAGGGACAGCAGGTCAGCTCCTCTCAGGCGGGCACCTCAGGACGGCAGCGAGGAGTGGGTGACAAGGAGGCCCCAGCAGGCCACTGTGGCGCGGGAGTCCAGGAGCCGTACGGGTCAGCTGCCAGGCCCCAGGCTGGGGTGCCAGGCACATCCGAGGACCAGGAGAGCGAGCCTGGCTGGGGGTGGCCCCCTGCACGCAAGGGGCAGGGGCCGAGGGTGAAATGGCCCGGACAGAAGGCACCGCCTGGCCCTTGGTCACACGGCTGCCACGGCCCAGAGAAGGGTCCCAAGGCAGCAGACACCTGCATCCAGCCTCGGGCATTCCGCCGACGTGTCCCAGGTTAGGTACCGCGGGGACCTGGGCAGCCCCAGCGGTCAGCCAGGCTCCGGCGCTGGAAGGGGCTGTCGTCATAGACGGGCGGCTGTCGGGCAGGCTGGGCCCTGCGCCACCGGGCCAGGCGGAGCAGGAGGTGGCCCTGGGGCCGGCCTTGCGCCCGGGCCAGCAGCACTACCTGCTGGGCAGTCACGTGCGCCGCTGCGGCCACTGTGGGCAGTGGGTCGTTCTTCAGCTGGCCCAGGTCTGCAGGAAACCGTGTCTCAGGCAGGTGGGAGGGGAGCCCAGGACGGCGCAGCCGCCCATCCCCGCCCCCCACCTGTCACCTCCAGGACCCTGGGGAGCCAGCTCCTCACCCTGGAGCAGGGAGTCCAGTAGGTCCTGGGTGACACGGCTGGGGCTGGCATGATGGACGAGGAAGCCTGTGGAAGCAAACCTGTGAGTGGGGAGTGGGGCTCAGTGCCCAGGGCACGGGCGGAGACCCCACGTGGCCCAGGCCTGCCTCACCGGTGAGCACGGTGGCCGCCCGCCGCAAGGGGTCCTGGGGACTGCGCAGGTAGCCCTGGGCCTGGCTCAGGAAGTGGTGCACGTGGCTGGGGTGTCGCTGGACCTGGGGACAGAAGTGATTGGGGCGGGGGGGGGCATTCCTACATGGGGAGGTAGCACAGCTGAATCCAAAGGTCCCCCAGGAGCGGCCGGGAAGGGCAAGGTGCCAGGCTTCACCCCGCCAGTGTTGCCGGCAAAGCGGGCAGCCGGCCACGCCCCCATCACGAGCTCCCCCTACTGACCAGGCGGTGGCAGACGCGGTTTAGGGCCTCGGGGCTGTCGTAGTGGGCCACAGTGACCACCTCCTCCAGCAGGCCCCAGCGCAGGGCCTGGTCACAGCGGGCCAGCGTCCACTCTGAGCTCTGGCACAGGGCAAGGGGGCAGGGGTGTGGGCCCAGGAAGCGGCATCCGCCGCGGGGTCGGGGCGGAGGAGCCCTGGGGGCGTCCCTGCCCGGGACGGGGTAGGCGCTGACCTCAGCGGCGTCCCGGCTGGGGTCGTGCAGACGCAGCAGCAGAGGCACCAGACTCCGCAGCACCAGCTTCCGCAGGGGCCCGCGCAGCCCCACCTGAAGCCCGCCCCGGCCCCGACGCACCAGCGTCCCAAGGAGGCCCATCGCCGAGGCGCGCACCGAGTCCCGGGCCTGAGGGCGAGACCTGGTCACTTGGAGTGGCAGCCAAGGGTGGGAGGGGCGGCCGGAGCGCGGCCAGGAGGGTGGGGCTCCTGGCTGGGGGCGGCCCTGCCCGGGGCGCGACCCTGGGGAAGGGGCCGGCCCACGGCGCACCGGGGAAGGGGTCGGGGTGGGAACGTCGGTGGGGCGGGGCCGGGGAGTGCGCCCGCAGTGAGGGGAAGCGCCCGTGGGGGCGTGGTGGGGGCAGGCGGGGCGGGGGCGGGGCGTGGCTCACGTCGTCCAGCAGCGGTGGGAGGCGCGAGCCCAGCTCGGAGCTCAGGAGCCGCACGGGTGCCCGCGGCCGCAACAGGAGCCTCCGCAGCGCGCCCAGCGCCGCGCACACGAGCCGCGCGTCGCCCTCGCCCAGCGCGCCCAGGAGCGCCGGCAGCAGCGTGCTCTCGTGCCGCACCTGCGGGGACAGACACTCGCGAGCCCTCGCGGAGCCGCCCGGCCCCGCCCGGCCCGTGCCGGCCCCGCCCTCACCTTCCCGCGATTGAGCGCCAGGTGGCCGAGGCCGAGCAGCCCCAGCCAGCGCACGGTGGGCTCGGGGTCTTGTTGCCAGGTTCGGAGCCGCTCCAGGATGGCCTCCTCCCGCAGCAGCTGTGCGGTGGGCCGGCTCTGCAGCAGCTGGGCCAGGGACGCGAGGTCAGCGCGCTCTGGGTCCCGGACAGTCCCCCGTCAGCCCTCCCCAGCCACTGGGGAGGCCGGCTCACCCCAGTGAAGAAGGCCATGGCCGTGAGGCGCTGCGGGACGTCGGCGCTGCGCAGCCGGGGCAGCAAGTCTGCGAAGAGGCCTCGCAGGTGGTGGTCGGCGTGCGCCACCATGGCACTGGGGTGGGGCGGGAGTGGGAGCTCTCCCTCCGCTTGGGCGCCTCACCCCTGGAGAAGGCCCTGCCCCGCCGCCCTCCTGCCCCTGCCTCATCCCCCGCCCCTAGCTCCGACCTGGCCGGCAGCGATCCTCTCCTCACCTGGCCAGCAGCAGGACGCCCTCCAGGTGGGTGTGGGCTCCCACCAGCCTCCTCCAACCTCCCGCCTGCTCCATGCATGTGACCACCATGCGGCCTCCATCCCCAGTGAGCAGGGCCTTCAAGGCCTCCACAGCGCAGCTGGAGGTGGGGGCGGTGGGCAAATAGCCAGTGAGGACCTAGAGGTCTCCGGCCCCGCCCCTCCTTGTCCAGGTGTCACCTCTCACCTGGCGTGGCTGTGCGGTGGCCCTCGGTGAGTCGGGGCCCAAACCTTAGGGGAGTCGGGGGAGCGCGCGCCCCGGGCCAGCTGGTGCAGCTGCGTGACCAGCGCGAGTAGCAGGTGTGGGTAGAAGCCCCGCGTGGCTCCCACACAGCCTGACACGGCCAGCATCTCCCCGAGCGCCCGCGTGGCCTGCAGAACAAGCCGCCGACTCAGCTGCCTGGGGCGTCGGCGGGGCGGAGCGCCTGCCTAGGGCTGGGCGCGGGGTTTTCCGCGGCTCAGCCCGTGCCGCTTGCCCCGCATCAGCAGCGGACTCTCCGGCCCCCGGAGGAGGCGCGGGCCACCTACCGCCAGCGCCTCCAGCTCGCTCCCCGTGGCGCGCTTCAGCGCCCACAGCAGTTGCACCAGCACCTGCCCGTTTACGCGCTGGTTCCGGCTTAGGCTTCGCCACAGTTCGGCCGCCGCCCTGGGGTGGGAGTGGGGGCTGGAGTGAGACCGGCGCCGGTGCCCAGGCTGCGGGGTGGAGGCAGCCACGAGGCGCCCCGCAGCGGCACGGCTCCAGATCGGCAGCCGCAGTGAAATAAACCTGGCATTAGATGACTTCTCCCCGGGGAATCCACCCAGGAGTCAACACCCCAGCTGGTCTCCCCGGCCGTCCGAGGTTGGGGGTGGGGGGAGGCCCTGCCTGCCGCCAGGCACCAAGCGGGAAGGCGGAAGGAAGCGGCCGCGTGGGGGCCGCGAGGGCGGATTACCGGTCTGGAGGCAAGGAGCGCGGCAGCAGTGCGCACACCACGTCTTGCGCGTGCTCCAGGGCCAGCGCGCTCAGCACCCGCACGGCCGCCCGCCGCGGCCTCCCCTCGGCCAGGCTGGGCACCTGCGCCAGCAGCCCACGCACCAGGGTGTGCACCTAGCGTGGGAGGGGGCAGAGGGCAGAGGTCAGCGACCAGGCCAGCTGGACCCTAGCACACTGCCCGCGGGGCCAGCATTCCACCAGGTCCCGCAGGCCTTTCTGAAGTGGGCGTGGCATCAGGCTGCGCTCCCACCCCCACGGTGGAGGGCCCCTGTCTGGGGTAGAAAGGGGCTGACCTGGTCGTCCAGGCGCTGCCCCCGGGCCTCCAGGGCCGAGGACAGGGTGAGCGCCGTGGCCTGGGTCCCCGCAAAGCCGGCCTCCTCCAAGCAGGCAGCCGTGTACAGCGCGAGGTCAGCGAGAGCCCCTTCATCCCAGGACCCCTTTGGGGAAGGGGATGCCGAGGACAGGCTGGGGGTGCAGGAAACCTCCGAGCTCTCCTGCTGTCCTCGCCTGCCCCTTTTCTGGCGTCCCGCAAAGTCCCGGCGCTCTGCAGCCCCCACCTCCAGCCCAAGGGAGCTGGCAGGCCACCCGTGACTCCCAGGCACAACCCTCTCAGCTCACCTGGTAGGGGCCCTCGGGGGCCGGCTCCTGGGTGCCGTGGGGGGAGCAGGGCTCACTGCCGACGCCGAGGGCTGATGCTCCACTTTCCTGCTCAGCCTCAGGGGTGGGGGTGGCAGCCTGGACCTCAGCTTCGGCTTCAAGCTCCTGGGGCTGAGGCTGGGGGCCTGTGGGAGGGGGTCCCGGGCTCTGCTCCTGGCTGGCCCGGATCCCTTCAGCCAGAGCTGTCAGACTTAGGGCCCCCACAGGGGCACCCCGGGCCCGGCCCCACACGCCCCCAGCCATGGCTGCCCAGCCAGCAGCACCTGTCTCTGCCTCTCCCAGGAAGTCGTGTCCAGACCTGACCTAGATGTGGCCTGGGGCGGGCCCATGGGCAGGCGTGGTGCGAGTGTGTGCTGGGGAACCAAGTGGGTGTGCCCCCCATGGAGCCTGCTGTGGCCTTGCAAAGGCCACTCCTGCCCAGGCTGCTGGACTGGAGTGGCCAGCCTGGCACCACCCACTAGCCCTCGGAAGGGGCAAGATCCCAGGGAGAGGGCAGACACAAAAAGGAGGAGGAGGAGGAGGAAGGGCCCTCAACCTGGGCTGCCAGCCCATCTTGGCCGAGGGGTCCAGGGGCCCAGGGGCCCAGTCCTGAGCAGAGGCCTCGCCAGGTCCAGCCCTGAGGAAGCAGTGAGGGCCGGGCTATGCCTGTCCAGCCGCCTGCATTCCAGTCCAGCCAGATGTGTTGGGCACGAGCGTGACTGTGTGAACGGTCAGTGGCTTGTGCGTCTCTGACCTTGGGCAGCCTGGGGGTGGGGCCATCAAGGCGAGAGGAGCTGCTGCCCCTCAAGAGCTCCTGCAGGTGCCCACCGGCACCGCCGCAGCGCCCGCCATGGCCGGGCCCCTAGGAGCACACAGCCGAGGCTGATGCCCTGTGGCTGCCTGGGACGGGGTGCTCTCTCCAAACTCCCGCTCCCCAGGGTTGGCCTGACCAGCCCTCTGCCCTAAATCTCCACCTTCCATCCTCACCCAAACACGCAGTGGGCCCTGCCCAGCCCTGAGCACTGGGGAGCCTGCTGATCTGGTCTGGCAGAATACCCAGGCAAGCGGAAGTGCTCCCGGAAGCACCCCGGATGGCTGGCATCCGCCATGTCCTGGCCCGCAGCCTCCACCTGCTGCCAAGCCCAGAAGCCCTCTCCCACGCGTTCCTTCCGAAGCCCAGGTTGCCAAAGCTGGCGATCTCCAAGCTCACCACCTTGCTACCCGAGGCGGGGCCGGGCCATGCTCACTGGGCGCGGGGCTGACCTGGGACCCACTGAGGCAGCTCCTGGAGCCTGCGTGTCATCGTGCCCCATCCCCCTTCCCTAGGATGCTTATTGGTCAGAAGCCGAGCTCCCAGGCCAGGGCCAGGGTGTATAGGGCAGGCAGCTGCAAAGTGGCAGTAGACGCCTTGGCTTGGGGGACTTGAGATGTCCCCACCGACACTGGACAGTGCCCTTGGCAGATGTGGGAGCCTGGATTCACATTGATTGGCTCAGGGGACTTGAGATGTCCCCCTGACACTGGACAGTGCCCTTGGCAGATGTGGGAGCCTGGATTCGCATTGATTGGTTCAGGGGACTTGAGATGTCCCCCCGACACTGGACAGTGCCCTTGGCAGATGTGGGAGCCTGGATTCGCTTTGGCTCGGGGGACTTGAGATGTCCCCCTGACACTGGACAGTGCCCTTGGCAGATGTGGGAGCCTGGATTCACATTGATTGGTTCAGGGGACTTGAGATGTCCCCCCGACACTGGACAGTGCCCTTGGCAGATGTGGGAGCCTGGATTCACATTGATTGGTTCAGGGGACTTGAGATGTCCCCCTGACACTGGACAGCGCCCTTGGCAGCTGTGGGAGCCTGGATTCGCATTGGCTTGGGGGACTTGAGATGTCCCCCCGACACTGGACAGTGCCCTTGGCAGCTGTGGGAGCCTGGATTCGCATTGGCTCGGGGGACTTGAGATGTCCCCCCGACACTGGACAGTGCCCTTGGCAGCTGTGGGAGCCTGGATTCGCATTGGCTTGGGGGACTTGAGATGTCCCCCCGACACTGGACAGTGCCCTTGGCAGCTGTGGGAGCCTGGATTCGCATTGGCTTGGGGGACTTCAGATGTCCCCCCGACACTGGACAGTGCCCTTGGCAGATGTGGGAGCCTGGATTCGCTTTGGCTCGGGGGACTTGAGATGTCCCCCCGACACTGGACAGTGCCCTTGGCAGCTGTGGGAGCCTGGGCCATGCTTGGACCCTCTGTGAGACACACCCCTCCCCAGCCTGCCTCTAGCAGGGGCAGCTCTTCTGCAGTCATTCCCCAGGTTCAAAGCTCTCCCTCGACCGTGGCTCTGGCCTGCTCCAGCGTCAGATCCGGCTCCCCACGGCCCAGCCTCCGGAGCCTGGGATGTGGCCGGGATGCCTTTCTGAACTCAGCCTGGGCCGTGTCTCCCCTCAGCCCAGCCCTGGAGACCCTGGGGGGGACGAGTGTGCGGCGGCTGGGAGAACAAATGACACGGGACACGTTGTGGGGGCCAGCGAGCGATCGTGCTGTTTCCAGAAATCCCCCTCGCCTCCGACTTTCACGGGGAGCCCCTGGCGCTCAGACTGTCCACCAGGGCCTGAAGCTTTTCGGACAGCGCCACCTGCAGGAGGGGAGGAGAGGCTGTGGCTGGCTGTGGGGCGGAGGGCATACAGGGAGGCCGCAACCCACGGCCCTCGGCCCACCTGGTACAGCTCAGGGCCGTGCAGCCGCCTGTGCGCCGGGCCAAGGCGGCTCAGGGACAGCTGGGCGAAAGCTCGCGACTCGGCCAGGGACGGCAGCGGCTGGCACAGCTGCAGGAAGGGCAGGGTCAGGGGCCGGCTCCGGTGCGGCTCGGCTGAGCTCGGGGGGCGGGAGGGCAGTCACCTGTCCCTTCTGCACCCAGAGTTGCAGCAGTGGCTCCACCTGGGCTGGTGTCACCGTGCAGGGCTCCCGGGCCCCTCGAGGCCACACCCTCAGCTCCTGCCCAGCCTGGGGCGGCGGCTCTTCCGCCAACTGCAGCACGTCCGACAGCAGGGCCCCTGGGTGTGTGAGGGGCGAGAGCGACATGGTGAGGGGGGCTCAGGGCTCTTAAGGGGGACTTGGAGGGTGGGAAGGGGCTCACCGTCAGCACCCAGGAGCCGGAAGGCAGCCTTGCTGCCCGGCAGCGTCTGCTTCTCAGGGTCCTCCGTGAGCTTCATTCGAGGCTGGCCCCCCACGGACACCAGCTGCAGGGACAGGCTGCTGCGACGACGGCTGGGCCCAGACCCCACCACCCCCCGCCCGCCGGCCGCCGGCCCCACCTTGTAGACGCAGCCCAGGGAAGGCTGTTGGGGGCAGGTGACCACGCTGGTGCCGATGCCGATGACGTTTACCTCACTGCCCTGGGAGAGGCGGGGTGACACTGAGGCCCGCCAGGACCCAGGCGGGGCCACCCTGTGCCTACGCCCCCGCACCCACCTCCTGGGCCAGCCGGGCCAGCTCCTCCTCGTCGACGTTGTTACTGACTGTGATGCACAGCCGCTCCAGCCAGGGCACCTGGAAACTGCAGCGCGGGAGACGGCGCAGCTCCTGAGTGACCCTGTCCCCCCCCCCCCCCCGCCTCACCCACGCTCCTCTCCACCAGGGTCCCTCCCTGCCCCGCCCGCCCGGCCCAGCTCCCCAGGGGGTCTCCCAGCAGCCCCGAGCCCTGGTGGGGGGCACTCACTGAGCGGCAGTGGTCCGCAGGACCCCACGGACCTCCCGGGCCTGCTGAAGGAGGTCACCGCTGTCCAGCCTCACTCCCACTGCCCGGTAGCCCAGCTCCCCCAGGGCCAGGGCAACCGCCAGGAAGTTGGGGAGGCCGCTCCTGCAGGCACAGACGAGAGGCTGGGGGGCTGCAGCTGCCCAGCCGAGCCCACCCTGGGGGCAGGGTCTGTGGCTCACCTCCGCACGCTGTAGGAGTCCAGCAGGCCCTGGAAGGCCCGGGGAAAGGCCAGGGCGTAGGCCACGAAGGCGGCTCGCTCCCCGGGGTGCGGCTCCTGCACCCCCAGCTCCAGGTGGGCGCACACACGCGCCAGCCACACCTCCGCACGGGCAGCCAGGTCCACCCCAGGTCCCTCCCCAGCAGCTGGGGCCAACATCTGTGGAGAGGTGGTCAAGGCGGGATGGGCCCTGCCCGCTCCAGCTGGAGGGCAAAGGTGCCAGCTCCCCGAACAGTCCTGGCCCCTGTCCAGGCGGCAGCCACTGCGCGCACAGCTGGGCCTGGCCCAGCCCTCCCGGGGCATAGGCCGCCCTCGGGGTTTGCACTGCGATTGGGAAGGCGACTGACCGGGTCAGGGGGCACCTCATTGCCCGCAAAGGAGGTGACGAACGAGTGGGCCAGGGTCCCGGTCACGGGCACCCCCCGCAGCTGTCCGGCAAGCACATTGCTGCTGCTGTCGAAACCTGGGCAGGGAGTTGGGTGGGGTTGGGGGGCCGCCTCCCTCCCCAGCCACTGCTGCCCTCTCTCTCCTGGGGCTCTCACCGCCCAGGTAGCTGTAGGTGGAGGCCGTGAGGCCGCCGTCTGGGCCCTGAGCCCGCCGCAGACCCATCTCCATCAGCCGCTTCTCTGGTCCTGCGATCAGCCGAAGCCGTGCAGCACTGGTGGCCACGAGGCTGCAGGGAGCCGGGGTCAGGCAACCCAGGAAGCCACCCAGGTGGGCAGTTCCAAGCCCCGGAGCCCCACCTCCCCCAGGCCCTGCAAAGCAGGAGCGGCAGGACCCTCGCGCTTCCGGGGGCCCCACCTGGCGTAGCCCACCAGGCAGAGGAGCGGCGTCTCCAACAGCTGCACCACCAAGAGCGGCCCAGACACCCGCAGCAGCGGCACCTGCGGGGAGCCCGTCAGCTGCGCGCGCCACCCCCACCCCCCACTCAGGGTCGCCTCCTCCGCCCTCTGGCCCCGCACTCACGCCCGGGAAGGCGAGGGAGCCCTCGGGCAGGGCCCGCACCGTCACCCCGGAGCAATCGAGGGCCCGAAGGTGCTCGAAGAACGCGGGGTCCGTGTCTGGGGGCAGCGCCGAGGCCAGGAAGCGCACGTCTGCGGGCGACAAGGCGCCGACGCGGTGGGCGGGGGACGCGGGGACGCGAGGGGCGTGCGGCGCGGGAGCTCGGGAGCGCGGGCCGCGGCGGGTACCTGCGTCCCGCAGGCGGAAGGCGCGCAGCAAGCGCACGCAGTCGCGCAGCCCCGCGAACAGCGCGAAGGCGCCGCCGAAGGGGCAGCGGCGGAAGAAGAGCTCGAACTCGGCGGCGTCGCGCGCCCGGCCCGCGCGCCAGTAGCCCAGCGCCATGGTGACCTGGTAGAGGTCCGTGAGCAGCGGCCGCGCGGCGGCCAGCGCCTCCAGGTCCCCCTCGGCGGCCATGTCGCCCCGCTGCCCTCAGGCCGCCCGGCCCCGCCCCGGCGCCGCGTGACGCGCCCGGGCCAATCGCGCGCTCCGCGGACCCAAAGCCAAGGGGACTCCCAAGACACCTGGGAGCGACCTACCGCCCTTTCGGGCGAGGGGTGGAGCAGCCGGCACAGGTTCCCCAAGGGGCGGGAAGGGGCTGGGCCTCAGGACACACCGCGCCCAGGAAGTTGTGAGTGGCATTTGGCCACCACAGCTGGCACTATAGGTTCTTCGGGCCACTGGCCCAGGGTGGTGGCCTTGGCGGGGTCGCGCACTCCAGGCCCCGTGGGAAGTGCTGGGGGGCCGTTTGTCCCCCTGAGGCTGGCTAGGGCTCCTGGGGTCACTCACTCCACAATCACCGAAATGCCAACCTAGGTGAGCGGCCATGGGCCAGTGGGACCACAGCTGGCCGCACAGGCGGGGGGCCAGGTCCCTGCCAGGGAAGGGCCTTGTTTCCAGGGCTCCAGCACTAAGGACAGAGCGTGGACTGCATCCTGGGGGCCCTGCACAGGGCTCAGGCCCGGGCCATGTGATGCCAGGGGGCCGCAGCAGCGGTGGCACCAGGATGCCCCAGGCACCTCCCCGCCCACAGCCGCAGCTCCCGCGGGGCCAGGAGGCAAGGGCTGGCTAGATCTGGTCTTGGACTCCACCAGCTTGGACGCAGTCACGGGCAGGGGGCAGAGGCGGGGCCCTGCCAGCTGTGGGGAGGCGGCGAGGGGACAGCAGAGGCCTGGCAGGACACGCCACGGAATGACAGGACAGGAGCCAGAGTGCCAGAATCTTGTCTTTAATCACTGGAGGGCCCCCCCACGTCAGATCTTGTTGAACGCTGCAATGTCCACACTCTGCACCTGGGGACAGGCAGGGGCGGCGGTCAGGGCGGGGCGGCTCCTGGGGCGGGGGGGGGGGGGGGGGGGGGAGCCGGCCCTGCCCGCCCACCCGCCCCGCACTCACGTGCTCCTCGAACTTGGTGATCTCTTCCTCCAGCAGGTCGGTGCCCACCTTGTCGTCCTCCACCACACACTGGATCTGCAGCTTGCGGATGCCGTAGCCCACGGGCACCAGCTTGGAGGCCCCCCAGACCAGCCCGTCCAGCTGGACCGAGCGCACGCAGGCCTCCAGCCGGGCCATGTCGGTCTCGTCGTCCCACTGCGGGAGCGGGGGGGAAGCTGCTGGAGTCGGCCACCCTCCGAGGCCTCCCTGGGGCCCACTCTGAGGACACAGCCTGCTGCCTCCCAGCGCCTGGGCACAGTGGGACCACAGCTGGCCGCTCCGGCCAGGGGCCGGGGCAGCAAGCCTCGCTCCTAGCCCAGGGTTCCTACTCGTGACCGTGAAACCCCGCCAGGCGGCAGAGGGGCTGGCCCGGCCTTCCCGAAGCCCTCCCGGCCGCTGCTCACGGGTTTGACGTCTAGGAGGATGGAGGACTTGGCCACCAGCGCGGGCTTCCTGGCCTTCTTCTCGGCGTACTGCCGCAGCCGCTCCTCCCGCAGCCGCGCCGCCTCCTTGTCCTCTTCCTCGTCACTGCCAAACAGGTCGATGTCATCGTCCTCATCATCCTCTGCCGGGGCGGCCGCCTTCTTGGCCGGGGGCTCCACTTGGCGCATGGGAGACACGTGCTGCCGTGGGGGGAGGGGGAAGCTGAGGCCGGCCCAGCGCGGCCCCTCTGCTGGGTGGAAGAGTGGCAGACGGGGCCGCGCCAGCCCGCTGTGGGCGGCGGCGCTCACCTGGGTCTGTGGGGCTGAGGCCCGGTGGGTGGGCGAGCTCTTCTCCAGCGCGCTCAGGCGGGCCTCCAGCTTGGAGACGGCTCGCTGCAGATCCTGCACCACTGCAGGACAAGGGGTGCCGGTCAGTGGGCAGGGGCAGGCGGGCGGGGCGGCACCCCCCAGGCCCGGGCCTCACCGCCTCGCAGGTTTTGGTTCTCCACTTCCAGGCTGGCGATGCGGACGGCGAGCTCGCTGTGGTCCCCGCCAGGCCCGCTGGAGGCCCCTGGGCCCGAGCTCTGCAAGGCAGGAGGAAGGACCCTCAGAGCCACACCAGGCCCGGCCAGAGGGAGCGTGCAGCAGCTGGGGCGTGGGGGGCGGCGGGCCACAGCCCAGGTTGAATGCTGTGCGTCTGAGCTCACGAACAGGGTGTGAGATTTGACAGAGGCAGCGAGGTGAGGAGCCCAGGGGGAGGCCTCAGAGGACAGCCCCCCCGCCCACCCCAGTACACACATTTCTGTTGTTTAGGCCCCAGTCTGTGGTGCTTTGTTAGAACCGCGCAGCAAACCAGTCCCTAGTCCTAATGACGTCTCGGGCACCAGGATCTGCAGCGGTCCCTGCCCGGCCAGGGTGCGAGTCTGTGTGTGACCCCTGCTCACGGCGGCTGGGTCTGGTGGGGAGACAGCAGGCCCCAGGCAAGAGCAGGCGGGGCCGCCGTGGGTGCCGGCCCCTGGCCCAGGAGGCAGGCAGAGCAGCCCGCACCAGAACCCCACAGCCTGCGGACGTGCCGCCTCACGTGGCAGAAGGGACCCGGGCCTGTGTCACCTGGGGGCCCCCACCACGGGCAGGGAGAGCAGAGGCTGCTGTGAGGGCCGGCGGCCGCGGCTGGCAGCCACAGTGCGCTGTCGGGGCGGCGCTGCAGGTCCCTGCCACTGGGGCTGTCGCCAGCGGTGAGGAAAGGCGATGCGCCGAGTGCCTCCTTCAGTTATTGGCAGAAATTCGGATGTTAAGGCCGTGCCAGTGCGGAGATGCTGGCAGGCGAGAAACACCATCCCAGTGACCCTCGGGCCTCGCAGGCTGGGCGGGCTGCGCTGTGGCACAGCGGGGTAAGCCACCATCTGTGACGCCAGCGTCCCAGCGTCCAACCTGCTCCACTTCTGATCCAGCTCCCTGCTGATGGCCTGGGAGAGGCAGCGCAAGATGGCCCAGGTGCTCAAACGCCGGAACCCACGTGAAGCCCAGAGGGAGCCCCTGGCTCTGGCCTGGCTCAGCCCCAGCCGCTGCAGCCACGTGGGGAGTCAGCCAGGGAGTGGAGCTGTCCCCCTCTGTGACTGTTCACAGCCAACCAGTCTCGGAGACCACAGGTCACCCAAGGGCCTCTCAGCCGTCCTATGCCAGGGAGACCCCGGGTTCTCAGAATTGCGTGTGGGCGGAAACGGTGCCAGCTTGGACCACAAGGGAGAGAGGACGAAGTCAGAGAAGGCTGCAGACTCCCGGAGCCTGCTGCCGACAGGTGCCGGCTTCCGGACGGGACGGGTGGGCGTCTGAGCTGGCGGTCAAGATGCCTGGGTCCCACGCAGCGCCGGGGGCCGACCCCGGCTCCTGGCTCCTGCAGGCCAGGCAGCACCGAGGGCTCAGGGGTTGGCTCCTGGGAGACCTGATCGGGTACCTGGCTCCTGGCTTCAGCCCGGCCCAGCCCGGCGTGGTGCACACGCGGGGAGTGAACGAGTGGGGACGCTCTATCTAACTTCAGGCAGCGAAGGAAGAGTTTTCACCAAGAGCACTGACCCAGGTGCGGCCGGAGCCACCCGGGAGGTGCCCAGCCCCACGCCGTGTGCCCCGCCGGCTCTGAAATCGCCTGGGACTAAGACGTGAGTCAGCTCCGCCGGCAGCGAACGCCAGGACCCACTTCGCTCTCACGGGTCAGCTCCGAGACCAGGCAGCCCCTCGGCTGGGGCTCTGCCGCAGCAGGGGTGGCACAGGCACAGCTTCTGGGGGCACGGCCACATGACCTAACGGCTCCCCGTGCCCACGGATGCACAGCCTGGGTGCGGGAGCCACGGGAGCCAACTCCTGTCCACACAGCAGGCAGGGAGGAGCGTTCCCGCAGGCCCCCCGCCGGCCCCCTGCCGGCCCCGGCTGCGACCTGAGGCAGACGCTCGCTGCAGTGGCCCGGCTCTGCCCAGGGCCCACTCCTCAGACCCAGAAGAGGCTCCTGGCTTCAGCCTGGCCCAGCCCTGGCCGTTGCCCATCTAGGGAGTGCACCAGCAGTGAGCTGGAAGATCTCTGTGTCTGCCTTCAAATAAATCGATCTTAAAAAAAAAAAAAAAAAAAAAAAGCCCCCAAGGTGCCAGTGTCCCAAGCCCAGATCCTGTGACCCGCACCTGTGGCGGAAGGGGTAGGGCCGGGACCCCAGGCGGTCAGGTGGGCTGAGTGACAGTGAGTGGCGGCCGGGGTGCGGTCAGAGGGATGTGTGGACAGCAGAGCTGGTGTGATGAGACTGCCCACGGGGCCCAGGCTGAGGGACCTGCACAGGCGGGGCGGCCGGCTCTCCTGGGCCTGTCCCGTGAGAGTCCTTCCCAGCTTGGGGCCTGACAACTGTGCCGGCACGTGTGAGTTCTCAGCAGTTAGCCTGAGACAGCCAGGAGCAAACCAAGACCCCGCCCACCTCGGGCGCAGCCAGCCCCCTGCACTGCCCACCCTGCCCAGGACGTGGAGGCTGGGCAGGGCGGCGAGCCCCTCGGGGCCTCCGATCCAAGATGGCGCCGGCTGAAGCGGGCACCTGTGACACGGGGAGCAAGGCCGGAGGGAGGCCCAGCGGCAAGCAGCAAGGGCAGGCCCGGCGAGCGCTCAGCACAACACCGCCCCCCGGGCCGGGCCAGCGAGCAGCAAGGGCAGGCCGGGAGAGAACTCGGAGGTGAGGCCTGGGGAGACCCAGCATGGCCCGCACTGCACACTGTGTGGCCGTGGCCGAGCCTGAGCCCAAGGGCGCGGGCTGTGCGTACTCACTCCGGCCAGCGATTTCTGGATGTTCTCTCTGGCTCTCGCAATGTCGCGCAGGATCACGCTGGCGCCATTCTCCTGCGGGCAGGGCAGAGACACCAGTCTTTCTTTTTCATTAAAAGTTTCTTCATTAAAAAACCAAAAACCCCAAGAACCCTCACAGACAGCACAGTGACAGCTCAGGACCGTGAAAAGCAGAGGTGCCCCAGGCTGCGGCCCCAGAAGCCTGCAGAGCTGCGCTGGCCCCGCACCCACGAGCCAGCCAAGGCCACCCTTGCGGAGACCCCTCCCAGCTCACCTGGCGGGAGGGGCCGGGCACGGGCCCGTTCATGCGCTCATAGAAGCTCCGCTCTGCGTCGTCATACTTGAACTTGTCGAACCAGATCTTCTCGTGCACTAGGAAGTTCGTCGTCATCTTCCTGCTGGGGGGAGGGGGCCGGGTCAACGCGGCTAGGGTGAGGGGCCTGGACCGTCCGCAGCCCCACCCTCCCCACAAGCGGAGGACTGGCCAGCGCTGCCTCAGAGCCCCTGGGATGCCCCTCCCCGTCCAGCTGCAGCTGGACGTCCTGTCAGACCCCTGGCCTGGGGAGAGTCCACTGTGCCTGCACACCACCCACACACGTGTGTGCACATGCACAGCCCCCCCCCACGCAAAGCACATTCGGCGAGGCCAGAATCCTTCCTGCAGCCGTTACCATCTGCACCACCCCGTACAGCCCACCGCCCCGCCCAGCGCAGTGAGAACGGACCCCTCCCACCCTGCCACCAACTCCCAGGGCCACGGGCCCCTCACCAGGAAGCCGTCAGGGGCGTGGGCAGCATTCCCACCCCAAATCAAAGCCACCTTCTGAAACCAGCAAACCCAGCCCCCCCACCAGGCAGCACCCCTACCCAGACCCCGGCCCATCTGGCCAGGCTCCAGCCTGCTTCAGGCCTCCAAAGACAGCGGCCGGGCCGCATTCCCCGCCCTGGAGCAGGGCCCCTCTTGGCCCCCAACTCGCCTATCCCCTGGGATCTGAGATGCCCACCTTACCTCAAAGGTGGCTACGGGAGACCAGGTGAGCTGGGCGTGGACAGGACGCCAGGCAGGGCCTGCGTCTCATCCCAGGGGCTCCCCCTGCCCAGCCAGGGTGGAGGGAGTCACTCCTGGATGACCCCCACCCCCACCCCCAGGTCGACCCTGGACACAAGGACACAGCACCACCTCGCCCAGCCCACCGCTGCTTTCAACTTGGCTGGGTCCACCGGGGGAGGGACTGTGGTGGTCCCTGTGCCCACAACCCAGGCCAGGCCCCGCCCAGCTGGTTTCTCCTACTTGGGTCTCAGGCTGGACATGGACGGGCCCGAGCGGGGCCCAGGCCGGTGAGCCAGGGAGGCGGCTTCGAGCCGCCAGGCCATGCGCAGGGCCTCGGCGGCGTGGTGGCGGCACTCGGCGCTGTCGTAGGCAGGCTTGCTGAGCCAGGGGGCCTCTGCATCCTTGTGCAGGAAGTACCAGTAGGGCAAGGCCGAGGGGGCCTCCCCGTCAGCCCGCCGAGACCCAGGCCGCTTGCTTCCCAGGGCGTTGCGGCCGCGCCGGTCCCTGCGGCCACGCCGGGCGCCCTCGGCCTGGCTGGCTCGCTCCTGCAGGCGCACCTTCCCGGGAGGGTGGCCGTCAAACTGGGCCTCGTAGAAGCCCCTTTCAGCTGCGTCGTAGCGCGGCTTCTCCAGCCACACCTCCCGCACCATGGCCTGCAGGCTGCCCAGAGCGGGCTGGCGAGCCAGGGCCAGGTCGGGGGCCTCCTGGCCGCGGCTGCCCTCTGCAGCCAGCAGGAGGGCCTGCGACCACTCCACGAAGGCCCGCTCGGCCTGGTCGAAGGAAGACTTGTTGACCCAGACCCCCCAGGTCACATGGTGGCAGGCCACCAGGCTCCCGTGGGCGCAGGGCCCCCGCAGGGCCAGCGCAGGCAGCTGAGTGGCCTGAGCAGCCGCGTCGGCCAGCCGCTGGCGGTAGGAGGTCTCTGCCTGGTCGAAGAGCGGCTTGTCCAGCCACACGTGGTCAGCCGAGAGGCCCACGAGGGCCAGGTCCGCCTGGCCGAGCCAGCCCTTGGGGGAGCGCTTCCTCTTCTTCTGCAGCGGCTTCTGGCCGTCGCGGCTCGTCCTGGGCTCAGGCCTGCCGCCGGCGTCGGGGGCCTCTGCCTCGTCGGCGTCCTCGCCGCCCGCCTGGCCGGGCCCGTTCATGGCTGGCGCCTCGGCCGGGGGGTGCTGGGCGGCCTCGCGCTCACAGCAGCGCCGCTCGGCTCCCTCATACTTGTGCTTGTCCTCCCAGACGGTCTCCAGCGCACAGGAGGCCTTGCCGCTCCTCATCTTCCGGGGCAGCGTTAAAAAGCAAGCACAAGGAGGAGTTGTGGCGCGCCGGCGCGGCCTCCCGCGGACGGGCAGGGCAGGCAGCCCCGTGCGCAGCCGGGCGCAGGGCTGACACCCCAGCTCCCCGCCCCCCACAGGAGGGGCTCGGACACAACCGCAGACAGTGCCCTCCAGCACAGCTGCAGAGCTGGGGGAGGGGAGGCTGGCCACGGCCAGCACAGGGCAGCAGCCGGCCAGCCCGTGCCTGTGGAACCTGGGAGCCCCGGGACGCGGGGAGGCAGGGCTCGCTGCCCTGGCTGGGGACAAGCCCGCCGAGCAACGTCCCCTCAAGCGCCAGGCAACTCTAAGTGTCTGTGGGCCACAAGCGAGACCGGCAGCATGAGCTGAGCCGCACTGGCCACACAGGACACGGCCCTGCCCCTGCCCCAGGGACCAGGGTGGTGCTACAGGAGGGGTGCCTTGGCCAGACACCAAGCAGCACCCAGGGCGAGCCCCCAGCCTCTATGAGAGCCCTGAGCTCACTCACTGCTGGTCCCCAAGGACAGCTCTGTCTGGATTCTGTCCTGACGGCACCCTGGGTCCTGCCCACCGAAACCCGGGAGCTGACTCAGGAGGGGACCCCCACTCAGCAGGTGCACCCACACCACCGGGCCCTCACCCAGGGACAGCAGACCTTTCTCACCACTGACCTTAGCTGAGGACTTATCCCCCCTCCTACAGCTCAGCCCAGTGGCTAGGGGGGCCTGGCCGCCTAACCCCCACAAATACAGAGGGCCTTTGGGATGGCCCAGCCTCTGGGTCAGCACGGAGCTGCCCCCCCGCCAGGCCAGGGCAGCACTTACCAAGGCTAGGCTGGTGGGACAGAGGCAGGGCGGGGTAGGAGTGGGAGCAGGGCCCAGGCGGCAGGCATTGTGACATCACCCACTGTCCCGCAGGCCCTCCCACCCCCAGCCAGGGCCCCCTGGCACCAGCTGGGCCAGACCTCCCTGTGACCTCACACCTGGTCCCCAGCGCCCCCTGCAGAGGGGGCGTCACCCAGGGAAGGCAGCTGCTTCCAAGATGCCCACCGCCAGGGGTCAGGGCCGGAGAGACCAGGCACTCCGCCAGGCCACCTGGCACACAGGGGACCACGAGGTCCTGCCCAGCGCTGGCTGGGGCCGCATGTGTGGACGAGGTGGCCGGCCCCGGCCGCCGGGCCGTCTGGCTGGAGGAGGGAACAGGGCCCTGGCAGGTGGGTACTTACTTTCGCTGTGACCTCCTACGACAGCATGAAGGAAAAGCAGCAAGTTAGAGGCATCAGGAAGGCCACAAGCCACACGCAGCGACAGGCCAGGGCCGGCCTTCCGGTGCTGCTTGTCCAGAGGGAGAGGAATGGCGAGCGCCGGGCAGGACCAGGCGGCCAGCAAGCCCACCTGCTTAAGGCGGTGTGGCTCCTGTCGACTGGTGCCCGGGAAGGCCTTGGGGGACAAGCAGGGATCCCTGAGCTGCCTTCACCCAACTCCCGGGCGACCTGGGGCAAGGTGAGCCAGGCCCACAGGTGCCCTGGAGCTGCCAAGGGCCGGCAGAGCCTCGCACACCGACTGCCTGGCAGCCGCAGACACCAGGTCTCGTACTGCACTCGGCGAGAGCCTCCTCACAAAGCCAGGCGGCTCTGCAAAGGCCACAGGATCCAGTGCCGTGCTGAGCAACCAGGGCGCCCTGGGGGTCGCCGCCCCCACCCACCCAGGCACAGGGCTCTCCACCGACACCCGCATGCACCTGAGCCCACCCCGGAGCCCAGGTCGGGGCAGGCCCTTGCGCTGGGAGGCCATGGTCCTCCTCTGCGGACAAGGAGGCACACACAGCCTGCCGCGGTCCCCACAGCCCCGCACCGGCCAGGCAGTAGCACGGCAGCTGCCAGACAAGCAGTCGGGACACCAGGGCAGGACCCAGAGGGAAACGGCACAAGGGTCACCTCAGCCCTGTTCCTGGAAGCATGGACTCCCACCCTCCCCGGAGGCAGAGACAGTGCCTGCGGAGCCACGGGGGCCCACCGGGGAAACAAGACCGGGGTGTGTGTGTGTGTGTGTGTGTGTGTGTGTGTGCAGGTGGCTGGTGTGAGGGCCCAGCCGGCACCTGCTCTCCCCAACATGCTTGGAGCCTCTGGCCAGGCCACATCTGGCCTGCTGAGGGGGACACGGAGGCACTGGCCTCCTGCGCCAAAGCACGGCTACTGGATCCTGTGGCTGGGGCTCCACACGGCACAGGGGGCAGAACGCCACAGCCCCGCTGACTGCTCCAGGCCACTGTTATTTAAATAAGCCTTGCTTTGAAAAAGCAGCGCCCAGTCCCAGCCTGCGCCGGCAGCCTGACCGCTGGCCTCACCGGCCAGTGCTCCCTGGACAGCACCTGTGCAGGTGAGTGCCCGCCGGGGCCTGTTCCGGAGGCTTCAGAAAACTCCCGGAGAGGCACTTACTACAAATGATGGGTGGGTTTTTTGATGCGAAATTAAACTCCCTGAAACCCACGCCGCTTTTTCAATCACATTCTCTAAGTCCCTGAAGCTTCCCTGTGCGCAAAAAACCCTGGGATTCCACTTCGGCGAACTTTTAAACAGTTTATTTCCATCTAGTGAAAGTCAGAGCGAGCGCTTGTCCACTCGGCGGTGCAGCCCAGGTGCCTGCCCAGCCCGCAGAGCCACCCCCGACCCGCGGGGCCACCACACGCGTCCCTTCCACGACCTTGCTGCAGACGCACGCTGCAAGCTCCCACCCGCCAGCGAGGGCCCCAGGAGCGGCTCCCGCACCTCGCTCGCCGAGAGCACGGGAACAGAGGCTGAGTCGCGGCCGAATGCTCTGTGCTGTCCTGCACCCCGAGATAACGGAGCGAGCGCAGGCCCCCAGCCCGGGAAGGGAGCCCCTGCCGCCTCCCGGTGGACCGCGGGCTCCGCGCCACGCAGCAGGCCCGCAGCTCGCAGTCTGTGCGCGCGCCAGCTCTGCATGAGGCGGCACTTTCCCGAGACAGACAGGCGCCTGCACCCCGGCGTGGGCGAGGAGGACCCGTGGCCCCCTCCCCAGCAAGCTGCAGTCGGCACCGGCTGTCAGGCAGGGGCCACCCAAAGCTTGGCGACACCAACAGCTCTGTGCCTGCGGCGCGACCGCCCGGGACGCCAGTTCCGACAGAACCGCACAAGCGCCCGCTGCAGACCCCCTCCCCCGAGCGAGACCCCGGAGGCGGCTGCGGAGCGCCCGTTGCGCGAACGCGAAGAGAGAGGTCACCGTGGCGGCTGACCGGCGCCCCCAGCCCCGCCAGGCCGGCCGCGTGGCCCTGGCGCCCCGCCCCCTGCGCCCCGGCCCGCAGGCCCTCCGTGCATGCGGGGACTCGCGCGCCCCGGCCCCCGCCCCCGACAGCGCCGGCGGCCGCTCCGGGGCTTGCGGTACTCACACGCCAACCAAGGACGCGGCGACCGAACGGGGAAGGCTGGCGGGCGCGCGGAGGCTGCGGAAAGGGAGCACCTCCCAGGCCGCGCACGGGAAATGAAGCGCTGGGCGCTACCAAGCGCCGCGGGCCCGGGGCCGCAGGGGAGCACCGCTCTCACGCAAGCGCTTCCCGCGTCGGAGCGCTCGGCAAGAAGCTCCCCGAAACCGCACCGGCAGAAGCCCGTCGGGGCCTGCCCCGAGGCCACTCCTCCCGGGAAGGGGGTCGACGCCGACGGCCGGGAGCAGGGCAGCCCCCGGCCCGACGCCCCTCTGCCGCCGGCGCAGTGGAGTCGCCCGTCCGGGCGGGGCGGGGCAGCCGGGCCAGCGCGCCCGGAGTGACGCGCGACACAGCCAACGCGCAGGCGCCTCGCCGGCGGGGGGGCGGGGCGGCGGCGCGGGGCCGGCGCCAGCGCGCTTGCGCGCGCCGCCGAGCAGGCGAGACAAAGGGGAGGGCCCGGCGGTCCCGCCCCGCGCGCCCCGCCCCGAGCGGCCGGCGCGGGCGGGCGGGCGGGCGTGTGGCCCCCGGGCCGCCGCCGCCGCCGCCGCCGCTGCCATGCATCCCGCGGGCGCCCCTGCCGGCCCGGCCCCGCGCCCCGCCCCCGCCGCGGCCGCCGGGAAGATGGCCTTCCGCAAGGCCTACTCCATCAAGGACAAGCTGCAGGCCATCGAGCGCGTCAAGGGCGGCGAGCGGCAGGCCAGCGTGTGCCGCGACTTCGGCGTGCCCGGCGGCACGCTGCGCGGCTGGCTCAAGGACGAGCCGAAGCTGCGCTGGTTCCTGCAGCAGCTGGGCGGCGAGGTGGGCCGGCAGCGCAAGAAGATGCGGCTGGCCAACGAGGAGGAGATCGACCGCGCCGTGTACGCGTGGTTCCTGGCGCTGCGCGGCCGCGGCGTGCCGCTGTCGGGGCCCGCCATCCAGGCGCAGGCCGAGGCCTTCGCGCGCCAGATCCACGGCCCCGCGAGCACCTTCAAGGCCAGCCACGGCTGGTTCTGGCGCTGGCAGAAGCGCCACGGCATCTCCAGCCAGCGCCTGTACGGCGCGCGCACGCCCGCGCCCGCGCCCGCGCCCGCGCCGCCGGCCCCCGCCGAGGGCGGCTACGGCGACGAGCAGATCTACAACGCCGACGTCACCGGCCTCTACTGGCGGCTGCTCCCCGAGCGGGACGCGGGCCCGGGGGGCGACCGGGTCACCGTGCTGCTGGCCGCCAACCTCACGGGCAGCCACAAGCTGAAGCCGCTGGTCATCGGGCAGCTGCCCGACCCGCCCAGCCTGCGCCACCTCAACCGGGACCAGTTCCCGGCCTCCTACCGCTACAGCCCGGACGCGTGGCTCAGCCGCCCGCTGCTGCGGGGCTGGTTCTTCGAGGAGTTCGTCCCGGGCGTCCGGCGCTACCTGCGCCGCAGCTGCCTGCAGCAGAGGGCCGTGCTGCTGGTGGCTCACCCGCCCCGGGCGCCCGCCCCGGAGGAGGGCGAGGACCCGCCCAGGCGCTGCCGGCCCGAGCCGCTGCAGACCCCCGACGGCGCGGTGCGGGTGCTGTTCCTGTCGCGCGGCCGCGGGCGCGCGCGCATCCCCGCGCCTCTGGAGCAGGGCGTGGTGGCCGCCTTCAAGCAGCTGTACCAGCGCGAGCTGCTGCGGCTGGCCGTGTCCTGCGCGGGCGGCTCCCCGCTGGACTTCGCGCGCAGCTTCATGCTCAAGGACATGCTCCACCTGGCCGGCCTCTCGTGGGACCTGGTGCAGGCGGGCAGCATCGAACGCTGCTGGCTGCTGGGCCTGCGCGCCGCCTTCGAGCCGGGCCAGCAGCCCGCGCGCCTCGCCGAGGAGGCGGCCGAGCGCAGCCGGGCGCTCAGCGACCTCACGCACCTGGCCGCGCTGGCCCACAAGCGCCTGGCGCCCGAGGAGGTGGCCCAGTGGCTGCACCTGGACGACGACGGAGGCCTGCCGGACGCCTGCAGGGAGGAGCTGGGCCCCGCGGCCCCTGCGACCCCGGCCGGCCTGGCCTCCGACATGGGGGGCAGGGAGGAGGAGGAGGCGGCGGGCGACCCAGCAGGAGGAGGAGCCTCGGTGCCCACCGCTGGGGAGGCCGTCCGGGGCCTGGAGACAGCTCTGCGGTGGCTGGAGAGCCAGGACCCCAGGGAGGTGGGGCCGCTGCGGCTGGTGCAGCTGCGCTCGCTCATTGGGGTGGCGCGGAGGCTGGGGGGCCTGGGGCCGTCGGGGGCGCCTGATGATGGTGTGTGACCACACGGAGCAGGTGCCGTTGGTCCTGCTCCTGCCTCCACGCCTCTCCTCCGCCCGAGGCTAGCCCGCCCCAGGGGCTCTGCAGCTTCCAGGGACCCCAGCCTGCCTCGCTTGAAGGGGCTTGGCTGGTGAAGGGTGCACTGGTCTTGGAGCAGCTGGAAGAGAGGTCTGGGTCCAGGCGCCTCGCAGGGCGGGGGTGTGCTCTGGAGGGCAGCTGGCTGTGGCCCCTGTGGGGCCGAGGCCTCCGGGCTGGACCTGTGCATGGCTGCTCTCCCTCCCGCCAGCCACCAGACACTGGACAAGGGCCCAGAGCTGCAGGTGCGGGTCATCTTTGGGGGGCAGAGCCCTGGTTTTGTTACCGTTTTTATACGTCCAGCCCGTTCTTGGGGGCCCCTGTGGCCCAGCCTGGGAGGACGGCGCCCCGTGGTACAGCATAGTGAGGAGGGTGGGGCTCCCGTGGTGCAGCGCAGTGAGGGGGCGGGGCTCCCTGGTGCAGCGCAGTGAGGAAGGGTTCCTTTTCACTTGGATGCCCAGTTCTCCCTGAGCAAATTCTGTCCTGAACAGATGTCTCATTCCCCGGGCTGCAGGGCCTCTGCACCGGGCCCGTGACCTGCCCAGTGGCAAGACGGGCTCCTTGCCTGCGCGCCAGCCACAGCCCAGCCGACCACCAGAACAATCTGCAGTGCCTTAGTGCTGGCTGCATAGGCCCCTCCCCTGAGACCCCCACCTGCCCTGGAGCTGCCAAACGGGTGCTGGGGGGCGTGTCAGAACCTTGCAGGGGGTCAGGGACTGTCTTGCCAAGTTGTGGTCAGAGCCCCCAGGAGGGGCCTGCTTCAGCCACTCTGTCTGCCCCCCATGGGTCCCAGCCTGCAGACCTGGGGATGGGGGTGCAGCCACAGGGGGCATTGGTGGGGGGGGAGGGGCCGTGTGCTGGCCTGGCAGGGGTAGCTGGGGGCATACCCCCACAGCAGTCTCCACACATGTCCCAGAATAAACAGGTCCTTGAACTGCTGCCTGTCTCTGGTCTCAGAGTGAGGGACGGTGTTGGGTGGTAAAGGAAAGGGCCCAGCCTCTGGGCCTGCTGACCGCTGGCCACCTCCACGTCCAGCGTCCCGAGCCTGGGGCCCTGCAACAGCCTGGGCTCGGGCAGGCTGGGGCTGGCCCTGTCTCCAATCCGAGCGGCTGGGGCTGGGCTGGGCTGCAGGAGTTTAGTGTGTTCCATGCATCACCTCCTAAATGGCCCTGGGAGCTGGCAGCTCCCCTCAGCAGGGCTGTGTCCAGGTGAGGGCTGCACACCTGGGCCTTGCACACAGCCCAGTGGCCTCAGGAGCTGCGCCTCACCAACACTGCTCCCTGGTGAGCGTCTCTATCTCGTCAGAGCCAGCCCTCTCCTGGGTGCCCAGGCCCATGGTGGCTGTGTGTCCTCAGCCTCTAGATGGTCCCCGGGCAAGGCAGGTGCAGGCTGGGTGGGACCTGAATGTCAGGTGTGCGCCTGTGCTGGGTGGGATCTGTGTGACAGTGTGCGCCTGTGCTGGGCGGGATCTGTGTGTCAGTGTGTGCCTGTGCTGGGTGGGAATTGTGTGTCAGTCTGCGCCTGTGCTGGGCGGGATCTGTGTGACAGTGTGCGCCTGTGCTGGGTGGGACCTGAATGTCAGGTGTGCGCCTGCGCTGGGTGGGATCTGTGTGACAGTGTGCGCCTGTGCTGGGCGGGATCTGTGTGTCAGTGTTCGCCTGTGCTGGGCAGGATCTGTGTGTCAGTGTGCGCCTGTGCTGGGTGGGATCTGTGTGACAGTGTGTGCCTGTGCTGGGCGGGATCTGTGTGTCAGTGTGCGCCTGTGCTGGGCGGGATCTGTGTGTCAGTGTGCGCCTGTGCTGGGTGGGATCTGTGTGTCAGTGTGCGCCTGTGCTGGGCGGGATCTGTGTGTCAGTGTGCGCCTGTGCTGGGCGGGATCTGTGTGTCAGTGTGCGCCTGTGCTGGGCGGGATCTGTGTGACAGTGTGCGCCTGTGCTGGGTGGGATCTGTGTGTCAGTGTGCGCCTGTGCTGGGTGGGATCTGTGTGTCAGTGTGCGCCTGTGCTGGGTGGGATCTGTGTGTCAGTGTGCGCCTGTGCTGGGTGGGATCTGTGTGTCAGTGTGCGCCTGTGCTGGGTGGGATCTGTGTGTCAGTGTGTGCCTGTGCTGGGATCTGTGTGTCAGTGTGCGCCTGTGCTGGGTGGGATCTGTGTGTCAGTGTGCGCCTGTGCTGGGTGGGATCTGTGTGTCAGTGTGCGCCTGTGCTGGGTGGGATCTGTGTGTCAGTGTGCGCCTGTGCTGGGTGGGATCTGTGTGGCAGTGTGTGCCTGTGCTGGGTGGGAATTGTGTGACAGTGTGCGCCTGTGCTGGGTGGGATCTGTGTGTCAGTGTGTGCCTGTGCTGGGATCTGTGTGTCAGTGTGCGCCTGTGCTGGGCGGGATCTGTGTGTCAGTGTTCGCCTGTGCTGGGCGGGATCTGTGTGTCAGTGTGCGCCTGTGCTGGCTGGGATCTGTGTGACAGTGTGCGCCTGTGCTGGGTGGGATCTGTGTGTCAGTGTGCGCCTGTGCTGGGTGGGATCTGTGTGTCAGTGTGCGCCTGTGCTGGGTGGGATCTGTGTGTCAGTGTGCGCCTGTGCTGGGTGGGATCTGTGTGTCAGTGTGTGCCTGTGCTGGGTGGGATCTGTGTGACAGTGTGCGCCTGTGCTGGGTGGGATCTGTGTGTCAGTGTGTGCCTGTGCTGGGATCTGTGTGTCAGTGTGCGCCTGTGCTGGGTGGGATCTGTGTGGCAGTGTGTGCCTGTGCTGGGTGGGATCTGTGTGTCAGTGTGTGCCTGTGCTGGGTGGGATCTGTGTGACAGTGTGCGCCTGTGCTGGGTGGGATCTGTGTGTCAGTGTGCGCCTGTGCTTGGATCTGTGTGACAGTGTGCGCCTGTGCTGGGATCTGTGTGACAGCGTGCGCCTGTGCTGGACTGGGAAGCCCGACAGTATCCTCTTTCCAGTAAGGAGCAGGCTGCTGAGCCCACTGCCTGGCCGTGTGTGCAGCCCCAGAAGCTGGTCCCAGAGCCTGTGGTGGCACACGCCTGTTGGCAGGAAGCTCTGGTGGTGGCAGATACCCACCTCCGCTGGGCCTGTGAAGTGGCAGAGAAACCCAGCCGGGGGGTGGGAGCCCATGGTGTGTGTGGGTGGCGGTGCAGTGGCAATGACCCCCCCCCCCATCCTTGGCCACCTGCTGGTCCTGGGGACTCACAAGCCGACAGGCACCCTTGCGGCCCCGTGGGACATGCACGTGGCCATCTCCTCAGTGGGGGTGGCCACGGTCAGACCACTGGGCTGAAGATGGACAGGGGAAAGATGGGAGAGGAAGGGGAGGTCCCTGACCCCGTACACGCCCAGCGGGGCTCACTCATGGGGGCACAAGGGGGAGGCTTGACCCCAGCTGCACGCTGCAGAGGACGGGGGTGTGGGGTTCCTGCTGTGTGGACCTTGCTGATAGCCACCCAGAGGGCAAGGACACTACTAACAGGTTGAACAGGAGAGCTCGTAAGCACCTCTATTTTAAACTCTTAACTTGTGATCCGAAGGGCGGTTCTGGAACACAGCAAGGATGGGACATGAAACCGGGATTCGGAATGCCTGCGATCACACCCTCTGTCCACGCTGCTCAACGGTGTTGGCAGTGTGAGGCGAGGAAGGGCCTCAAAGACCCGCGGCCGGAGCCCGGTGCTCCCTCCCCCACACCCACCACTCAGGGAACAGTCCCGGCCCTGGGCTGTGGTCGGCTGGGCGGGGCTCCACACACGCTGGTCACAGCCAGGACCTCTGAAGCGTAGCTGCGCTGGTCGCCGGTGGTTGGCAGGGGCTGGCTCCGATTCAGCAGTGATCTCTCTGGGGGCAGGTGGTCCTCTGGTGGCTGTCCCCAGGGTCCCTGCGCGCAGGCGGCCTGCACCAGACCTGCAGAGCCCGGCCAGCGAGTGGGCCCTTGGCGGCAGGGCTGCCTGGGAACGGGGGTGGAGCTACGGGGTGCAGAGCGTGGGGGGGGGGGGTAGGACATCGCTCCTGTTCTCTGGATGCCAGGAGCCCTGTTTCGGGCGGGGGGTTAATTTGTGTAAGGTCACCCAGCCGGCAGATGGCCCAGCGGGGACCGCCCTCTCACGGCCAGCCTCAGGAGGCTGCTGGGGGGAGGTGAGGGCAGGGCAGGGAGGCCAGGGGAGCCCTGGGCAGTGTCCGGTGCCGGGGACCGAGCTGCAGGTGGCCAGCCGCTCATCGGGGCTGGCGGGAAGCTCCGGCTCCCCATGGCGGCCCCACCCCACAGCAGGCCATGGGCCCCTGGGTGGAGCCAAATGAGAAAGCTGGCCAGGCAGCGCCCCCGGACACTGGGAAATGCAAAGGGCCTGCGTCCAGACCAGGTGGCCGGCTGGGCTGCTGTCGCCTACAGCTGTGCTCACAGAAGGCAGCCCCCTGCACGGTGCCAGCTCTCAGGACCAGTGTCACCGATCACCAAGGGCTCACCAGGGGCCACCGCCCTGGAGCCTTCTGCCATGCGGGGGAGGGAGCCTGCCTGCTCAAAGCCTGGCCCCTTGCATTTCCCTGGGGCAGGGCACGGAGGGCTGCCGGCTTCACCCAGAGCCTACTTCCTGCTGAGCTCCTTGGCCCGGCAGGTGGCCGCCTCCACGGCACTCATGGTAGCCGCGCGCAGCCCGCCCTGCTCCAGAGCGTGCAGCCCGTAGATGGTGGTGCCCCCGGGCGTGAGCACGTCGGTGCGCAGCTGGGCCGGGAGTCGCCCCTCCTGCAGCAGCATCTTGGCTGTCCCCTGGAGGGAAGGGGGTGGTGATGCCTCAGCAGCCGCCCCCGGACCTGGGCCCGAGCTCCTGGGGCCTGCCGCGTCCCCGGGCCACCTCACTCACCAGCAGCGTCTGCGCAGCAATGCGGTGGGCCAGGCCGCTGGGCATGCCCATCTTGATGGCGCCTTCAGCCAGGGCCTCAGAGAACGTGCACGCCTGCGGCAGCGTGTGGGGGCAGGGGTCAAGGCCAGGGCTGTGCTGGCCCTGGTACCCAGCTCTGCACGCGTGCGCAAGGCCGCAGCCCAGGGCCCAGCAGGGGCCGCCCGTCGTTCCGTCCTGGGGGAGCAACCTGGAGGCCCCTGCAAAGAGGGCTAGCCTGCCGGGGTGGGGGGAGGGGAAGGGCGCGAACACTCACGAAGGCCACGCCGCTGCCGCTCAGGCCGGTGTGGATGTCCACGTAAGCCTCGGGTACCTCCTCGCACTGCCCGCAGGCTTCTAGAAGGTTCTGCAGGAGCCTGGCTTCACCGCTCCCAGCACAGCGGCCCAGGGCCATCACCATGGCCCCCTCCTGGACCATGCAGGGCAGGTTGGGTGAGACCCGCAGCACCCGGGTGTTCGGGGGCAGCAGCTGGTGGAGAGAGGGTGGAAGCAGGCAGCCCATGGGGCCAGGCCCTGTGGACAGACACCCAGTGGCCGTGGGCTCCATCCCCCATGCCCCAGGCCGGGCCCTCCCAGACAGACACCCAGCGGCCATAGGATCTGTCCCCCACGCCCCAGGCCGGGCCCTCCCAAACAGATACCCAGCGGCCGTGGGCTCTGTCCCCCACGCCCCAGGCCCGGCCCTCCCAGACAGACACCCAGCGGCCACAGGATCTGTCCCCCACGCCCCAGGCCGGGCCCTCCCAGACAGACACCCAGCGGCCGTGGGCTCTGTCCCCCATGCCCCAGGCCGGGCCCTGTGGACAGACACCCAGGGCCGCGGGCTCCGTCCCCCACGCCCCAGGCCGGGCCCTCCCAGACAGACACCCAGGGCCACAGGATCTGTCCCCCACGGCCCAGGCCAGGCCCTGTGGACAGACACCCAGGGCCACAGGCTCCATCCCCCATGTCCTGGGCACAGCAGCAGGAGTGCCCCTCACCCCAGCACCTAACCTAGCTGGGCCACTGGCTGCCCCCCACATCGGGCTAGCAGAGCCCCCCGGGGCAAGGCCTCACCTCCTCCAGGGTGCTAAGCGGGACCCCGGCAGCCACGGACACCAAGATGTGCTCCGTGGTGACCGCAGAGGCCAGCTCCGCCAGGACGCCAGGCAGGACGTGGGGCTTGGTGGCGAGGATGACGAGGGAACAGGTCTGCAGCACCTCCTGGTTCGAGTGGGTGGTCTGGCAGCCCAGAGCCTGCGTGGGGGACACCAGGACAGGAGCCGGGGCTGCGTGACCGGGGTGACCCCCTACGCCGCGGAAGGCTGCCTGCGTTCCCCCACGTGGCCACGGCCTGGCCTGCACGTGTCTGCACCAGCCCCGCCCACCACTGCAGCACACACGTGCACACCCCTGCACACCCCTGCTCAGGCCTCCAGGACCCTGCCCAACACTCTCAGCGTAGACACTCTCAGAACCTCAGCTCCAAAAGCCCCGCTCCCCGGCCCCGAGAAGCAGCTGAGGGACTGGGGTCGACAGGCGTCGCCCTGGGCCCCTGGGGGACCCCTCGTCCACTCACCCGGAAGTGGCAGAGGTTCCTGTCGGTCGGTGCACTGGCCATCACATGCTGCGCTTCCACCTTCCCTGGAGAGAATGGAGAAGGCAGAGGGGGCGGTGAGAGGGTGGGAGGAGTCTGCTCCCCCGGCCCCGCCCAGCCCTGGCCCCTAGAGACTGGGTGATGTCCCGCCCGCCTGGGGCGACACAGCAGGTGCACTGATTTCATGGGGCAGCCACCGCCCCCTGCCTGCTGCTGGACACAGGGGCCAGGAGCTTGGCCTGTCCAGTGAGCACACGGACCCCAGGGGCTTACTGGCCGGGGCAGTGGGGAGGGCAGCACAGTACGGTGGCCCAAAGGGAGCACCAGGCCAGGGAGTTGTCCTGGTTCTGAAGGCACCTGACCACAGAAGGCTCACTGGGGCCAAGCTTCCCTGGAAGGGGGTGGTGGTGCTGGGATGGCCACGTGGCAGGGAGCTGGGGAGACCGGGCTGAACAGGAAGACAGCCCATCAGCCCCTGGACACAGCCGGGCATCAGGTGGCCGCTTGGGCTCAACATCTGTGACAGCGGCTCCCGGAGCCCGTGGAGCCGGGGAGGCAGGTGATCCCCGAGACCTGCTGGGCGCTCTCCCGGCTGCTCCCCACTCCTCTGCGCCATGAGCTCTGGCTGACGAGGGCAGAAAGGCAAAGGTCGCCCCTCCCGGTGCCCGCGTGGCAGGTGCAGCTTTCCAAGCTCTGGGAGGGTGCGCGGGCGATGCCCCCTCCCCCCGCCCAGGAGACACCTGGCTGTCCGCATCTCCCGACAGACAGCCGCCGGGGATGCCCAACACCCTAGGGCCGCAGACGTCCACAGGACTGAGGGCGCACAGACGGAAAAACCAGCCTGGGGCTCAGGAGGGTGAACCTCACCCAGGCCGTGAGGCCAGGAAGCGGGCCACGCGGGCCAGCACCGTCTCCAGGAGCCGCCCACGTAACCGCACTTCCAAAAGCGGAGGAGACGGATGAAGCTAACCTAAGAGCGCTCTACGTGACAGCACGTCCAGGCACGGTGCGGAAGCGAGCCACGTCCTCGGCCTGCCTCTCCCCTCCTCTCCCCTCCTCTCCCCTCCCCTCCCTCCCCGCCCCTCTCCCCAGTCCTAGGTCTACAGAACCCGGGAGCGCCGCACTCCGCACGCCAGCCCGCGTGGCCGCGGACAGCCGGCTGTGCGCCCGGGAGCGCGGTCCGGAGGGGACCCGCGGGCGCCCTCCCGCCCCGAGCCCGCTACCTGCTCGGATGAGGCCCCGCGCGATGGCCTCCGCCATGCGGCCGGCGCCCACAAAGCCCACGCGCCGCGGAGCCGCCTCCGCCGCCATCGCCGCTGCCGGCACTGGGCCCGTCCCCCGCGGCTCATTGGCCGAGGTCGCCGGAGAGCCGCATCCACCCATTGGCTGAGCGCCGCGGGGGGCGGGGCGGGGCGGGGCGTCGCGGAGCAGGGCGCTCTCCGCCGCCGGTGGGTGGGTCCGGGCGACTGGGCTTCCAGGAAGGGCCACCCGCTCGGAGCTGGTGAAAGGCCCGCGCGCGCAGACCCGGGAGCCCCGAGCGCCCGCGTCAGCCGGCTCCCGGAGCCGGGGCCTCCCCGCTGCCCTGGGGCGCAGGAGCGCTGGGCGAGCCCGGGGCGGGCCTCTGCGTGCCTCAGCACATCTCGGGTTGTGGGGGTCTCACCCGCCACCCGGGCTGAGGCGGCGAAGGCGTTCTGTGGTCTCTGAGCCCCATGACGTCCGCCGCGCTCCGCACCGGCGAGCCCCACCCCCGCATCCCTTCCGAACCGCAAGGCAGCGGCCGGACGGGTGCACCTGTCCCTCACGCCGCGGTCCACTGGGCTGTGGCAGCAGTCCCTCCGCAGCCAACACGCACGCACACGCACCCACGAAGAGGCACGCGTGTGCGCATGCACGCATCCACAGAGGCACACCCACACAGGCACTCCTGGGCGCACACACACCCATCCACGCAGAGGCTCGCGTGGGCACCAACACACGTGACATGCCAGTCTCACCAGGATTCGAGAGCAAACAATGCCGGGGAGGGAGCGATGGGGACTGAGAGGCTGCTCCGGTCACTGCAGCCGGAAGGTGCAGATGCTGGACAGCTGGGCCCACAGTGCTGGCCCTCCCTGCTGCTCTGGTCTGGCTCTGCGCCTCTCCCCGCGTTCACACCGACTCTCGGAGGTCGACAGCTAAGGGAGGTGGGCAGAAGCTCTGACAGCCGGGGTTACGCTCCTGGCAGGCGGGCAGCAGACCAGGCCCAGGGAGAGGGTCCCTGGGAACCAGCGTTTGAGTGGGGACGGGAGAGTGGGGCAGAGGCTGCAGTGACATGGCCGGGAGGGACAGCAGGACACTGGGACCCTCCAGGGCTGCAGCCCAAGCACCCAGTTAGAGGGCGATGGAAGCAGTGGGCTTGGTTTTCTAGGAGATGGGATGGGTGGGGCCACGGGCTGACCCCCCCAGGGAACTGTGGTCTGGATGCTTTGTGCCAGTGTGAGGTCGCCCTGCCCACCTGCTGCCGTCCCTGCTGCCCCCTCTGTCCCTGCTCTCCTGGCTTCCTGGGACTGCGATGCCCTGGGACAAGGACTGAGGGACACGGCAGGGACCTGTAGCACCCAGCCCCGTGTCACACAGGAGCCGGCTGCCTTCGGTGAAATGAAACAGATAAGGGCCACCAGTCACAGCTGTGGGGACAGGACCCAGTGGCCCAATGCTAGCCGCCCCGGCAGTGGGCAGCTCCGCTCCTGGCCCCGCCGCCCCTGGCCATGGGCAGCTCCGCTCCTGTCCCAGCTGTCCCTGGCCGTGAGCAGCTCTGCTCCTGTCCCCGCTGCCCCTGTCCCCGCCGCCCCGGCCATGGGCAGCTCCACTCCTGTCCCAGCTGTCCCTGGCCGTGAGCAGCTCCGCTCCTGTCCCGCCACCCCTGGCTGTGGGCAGCTCCACTCCTGTCCCCGCCGCCCCTGGCCGTGGGCAGCTCCGCTCCCGTCCCAGCCGTCCCTGGCCGTGGGCAGCTCCGCTCCCGTCCCAGCCGTCCCTGGCCGTGGGCAGCTCCGCTCCCGTCCCAGCCGTCCCTGGCCGTGGGCAGCTCCGCTCCTGTCCCACACCATGTTGGCTGGAAGCCCATCAGCCACTTGTCACCTGCCAAGTGCATCCCTGGACCTCTGCTGGGCCCCTCCCACGGTTCCAGACCTGCCTGGCCCAAGGGGCATTCCCTGGACCCTCACATGGACAGGACCCACACCCACAACCCAGGTCCTGGGCTTCAAGGCCCATGAGCCAGAGAAGCCAGCACCCCGGCGCAGCAGGACTGGTGGTGGGAGACGGCTGAGAGGCAGTCAGGGACGGCTTCCTGGAGGAAGAGCCACTTCAGGGGAAACCTGCAAGGTGGGGAGGCCTGGGGCAGGAACTCTGGCTTCCCAGAGGGAAAGGGGTGGTGACAGATGCTAGAGGCTCAGCTGGGCCCAGGGGTGCAGGCGCCCAGGTGTGGGCTCGGGGGTGCAGGCATCCAGGTGTGGGCTCGGGGGGTGCAGGCGCCCAGGTGTGGGCTCGGGGGTGCAGGTGCCCAGGTGTGGGCCTGGGAGTGCGGGCACAGGTGTGGGCTTGGGGGTGCAGGCACCCAGGTGTGGGCTTGGGGGTGCGGGTACCCAAGTGTGAGCTTGGGGGTGCAGGCACCCAGGTGTGCGCTCGGGGGTGCAGGCACCCAGGTGTGGGCTCGGGGGTGCAGGCACCCAGGTGTGGGCTCGGGGGTGCAGGCACCCAGGTGTGGGCTCGGGGGTGCAGGCACAGGTATGGGCTCGGGGGTACAGGCACAGGTGTGGGCTCAGGGGTGAAGGCACAGGTATGGGCTCGGGGGTACAGGCACAGGTGTGGGCTCGGGGGTGCGGGCACCCAGGTGTGGGCTCGGGGGTACAGGCACAGGTGTGGGCTTGGGAGTGCGGGCACCCAGGTGTAGGCTCGGGGGTGCGGGCACAGGTGTGGGCTCGGGGGTGCAGGCACAGGTGTGGGCTTGGGAGTGCGGGCACCCAGGTGTAGGCTCGGGGGTGCGGGCACAGGTGTGGGCTCGGGTGTGCGGGCACCCAGGTGTAGGCTCAGGGGTGCGGGCACAGGTGTGGGCTCGGGTGTGCAGGCACCCAGGTGTGGGCTCGGGGGTATAGGCACAGCTGTGGGCTTTGGGGTGCAGGTACCCATGTGTGACTTGGGTGACCCAGGTCCGAGTTGGGTGCCCGGGACAGGGAAAGTCACCAATGCTGCCCAGGTAACACGGGAGACAGGAGCGTAGGTGAGGACAGCAAGGGGCTCCCGGGAGACCATGGCCAGGGATGGGCCCGGTCCTGGCGGCCCCCACACCAGGAAGGCTGTAGGCAGCAGGACCTGTGTCCACGCCCCAGCACCACCCCGCGGGGAGACTGGCTCAGCCTTCTGGACTCTGGTCTCCCCGCGGAGAACAGGGACTCCGGTGAGGGTGCTCGCCCCCTGGTGGCAGAGCTGACCTGCGCCGGCCAGGCTGAGGCCCCGGCCCCAGACACGGTTGCTTCCGAGCTGTCCAAAGCCCGGCCCCGCCCAGGCCATCCTGTGGCTTCCCAGAATCCAGACAGCGGGTCCTGTGAGGGCCTCAGGGCTGAGGCAGGGAGGCCGGGGCGGGCGGTCACCCAGGCCTGCCGTGCCCGCTCCTGCCTCCCGTCCTCACCCTCGCTCTCCACGCCTCCTGCCCGCGGAGGGCCAGCAGCCGTCCGGCTGGGCAGCACGGGGGGACCCGGCCGGGGGCGGCTGGGCACACAGCTGCCGAGGCCAGGCCTGTGAAATGCACTTTATTGGCAGCACGCTCAGGCCGGGCCTGCCCAGGCCTCGCCTTCCCTGAGGACAGACACGAAGCGGGCGTCCTGGCACGGGGGTGGAACCCCTGGGCTCTCGGCAGGGTCTGAGGCGGTGGCCCCGGCGCTGGCTTCACTTCCGGGCCTGCTCGTAGTTGTCGGTGAACCAAGCACAGGTCTCCTTCACGGCTGCAGGGGTGGGAGGGGCCCGAGGACACAGGGCCACTCTGAGCTGGGCTCCCCGGCCGCACAGGGAGGGGCTGCGGGGCCCGAGGGGAGGGCTCACCCTGCTTGAAAGGCGTGAACCGGAAGTCGGGCAGGTAGGCCCGGAGCTTGCCGTTGCTGGCCGTCTTCTTAAACTGCCCGTCAGACTTGCTGGCGTCGAACTGGGCGCCTGGTCAAGGCCACAGCCGAGAAGCATCCCCGCCCCCTGCCTTTCCTGGGGGCCTCGGGGAGCCGGGGGGGACCCCGTCCTGCTGCAGGGAGGGGCTCGGGGAGGACAGGGCGTCCATGCAGCTCCCCGCTGCAGCCAAAGGATACGGAGACTTCCCCCTGGAAGCCCATGGCCTCCACCACGGCCTCTGCAGCCTCAGCGATGGACACCTCCTCCTCCTCGCCCACTGCGCGGCCGGCCGCAGCGGGGTCAGGCCCGGGCCCAGCGCCGGGGCTCCCGCCCCTCCCAGGCCTCGTCAGGAGGCTGGGCTGGGCCTGCCCCGCCCCCACCCCGCCCCTGACGGTGATGGGCTGCATCTGCCCCGCTCCAAGTCAGGATGCTGGCCTGCACCTGCCCCGCCCCCGCCCCTACATGGTGATGGGCTTCACCTGCCCTGTCCCCTGACATGTGATGGGCTGTGCCTGCCCCGCCCCCTGACGGTGACGGGCTGCACCTGTCCCGCTCCGTATCAGGATGGTGGGCTGCGCCTGCCCCGCCCACACTATGCCCCCAACAGGGTGATGGGCGGCGCCAGCCTCCCCCAGCGCACCTGACAGGATGATGGGCTCCACTTCCTCGTATTCCCGCAGCACCCAGAGGAGCAGCCGCGCCAAGTCCTGGAGGCCAGACGGGAGGGTGGGAGCCGGCCCTGCTCATGGGGTACTACCGGGCCTCCCCCGACGGGCCCCCTGTGGCCGGTCCTGCCTCCCCGTGCGCCGGCAGCTCCCGTGGGGACCCCACAGACCAGGACCGCTCCTCCCGCCGCCCCGCGCGCCCCGTCCCTACGAACCAGCGAGTAGATGAACTGCCTCCGCGGCCTGCCGGTGCCCCACACGGTCAGCGCTGCGCCGCTGCCTGCGCGGAGGACACGGTCAGAGCAGAGCGCCCTCCGGCCGTGCTCGGGCCGCACGCCGCGCGCGCACTCACCCTTGGCCAGGTGCACCTTGTGGATGAGCCCGGGCAGCACGTGGCCGTCCTCGATGTTGAAGTTGTCGTGGGGCCCGAACACGTTGGTGGGGATGACGGCGGTGAAGGTGCAGCCGTGCTGCTGGAAGTAGGCCCTGCGGGGGCGGGGACGCAGCGTCTCGGCAGCCCGCCCGGCCCCCGCCCCAGACTGCGAACCCCACTCCTGGCCCAGCCCGCCCGGCCCCCGCCCG